TACTTCTAAAAAATAAACTACATTTATTTTCTTAACCAATTCTTATCCTAAACTTTTGATGAATGGATCAATCTTTACAAATAATACTAATGATTTCAATGCCATCAAAAGATAATTAATTTATTAATGAGTGATTCCAAAGGATTTCTACATTGGCTTTTCTTTAAAAAATGGCATCCAGTTCCTTCTGTAGGTAGTACAATTGCTTTATTTTCTATAATCGGTGTCATATTTGTGGTTTTGGGAATTGTTATAACAGTAATCAATAATAACATTCAAGAAGTAACAATTTACAAATATGATCAAAAATGTTCACCTGTTGAATATAATAAGAAATGTAGTTTTACATACAAATTCGATTAAATGAAAGCTCCTATTTACTTTTATTACGAACTTGAGAATTTTTATCAAAATCATAGACGATATGTTAAATCCAAATCATCAACTTAATTATCAGGTGAAGAAATTTCACTTTCAGACGCTGAGAAATATTGTGAACCAATTATCTATAATAAAGATTTAGAAGAATGGCAATAAGTTGTTTATATAACAGAGGATAATATTCTAGTTACAAAAGAAAGTAAACCAGATGATATTGCTAGTCCTTGTGGATTAGTTGCAAAGAGTTTCTTTAATGATACTTATGAATTAAGTTTATCAGGAAAAAAAATAGAATTAAATTAAACAGGAATCAGTTGGCCTAATGATAAAGGTAAAAAGTATAAGAGAGCACATGATTCTGAGAATACATAATGGATAGATCCAGAAAATGAACATTTTATTGTATGGATGAGAACAGCTGGATTACCTACATTTAGAAAATTATGGGGACGTATTGAACAAGATATAGAAGAAGGAGAATACATAATTGAATTTCAAAATAATTATAATCCATAAATGTTTGCTGGAGCAAAAAATATTGTGCTTTCTACATCAGGACCATTTGGAGGAAAAAATTTATTTCTCTCAATTGCATTTATTGTTGTTGGGGTAATTTAATTGTTGATAGCATTGGCATTCTTAATAAAAAAAATAAGAGCTGGACCTTCATTTGGTTAAAAAAATGAATGAATATTGGATGATTAAAAATCAAATTAATATTATAATTAATTTTAATGCAAACCTGTTCAAAACACAAAGATTAATAAATTGATTTAATTTGTTTAGAATCTGCCTGTAAATCTCATGTGGCATGTGTTTAATGTGTTATTGAGGATCATTCTGATCATCCAGATTAATGTCTATTTATAGATGACATTTTAAACGTAACTAAATTTCATAATTTAGAATAATATTAAATTAGAAAACTCAAAAGTAATAGAATATGTATCCAAACTCAGAAGTGAATAAGATTTAATTAGTGTTGTTGATAGAGAATTTGTATAAATCTAAAATGAAATATTGTTGAAATTTGATGGCTTTTAGTAATTATATAATATATTCAATTCTTTTAGAGATGACTTGTAAACATATTATAATCAATTAACTCCAAAAGAAATATAATCAAAAGAAAAAGAATTTTTTGATCTCCTCAGAAATGTTACAAATTGCAAAGATATTGTAATATTGTACTAAACCTATTAAAATGGAGAAATAAATAAAGCTAAGTTCAATCAGGAATTGAATACAATGATCAATAATAATGAAATTGAATCAAGAAAATAATAAATATTTACAATCTATAAATGTTTATTATAATAAAGCTTGAAATTGTAAAAGAAAGATTTAAATGTACTTTTATTTAATTATATTAGTAAATACAAAATGATATTTTGGAAACACTTCAAGAGATTCCAAAATTATTATCTTCAGAGAAATCTATTTAATTTTATAGTCTTTAAGGAAATAAGAGTACAATTGAGAATGGAAACATCATAACAATATCTTCATAAGATTAATAAGCAGTAATTGTATCATAAAATACATTCTCTTATCCTAATAAATATTAATTTACGATAAAAGTAGAATAATATGATACTAATTAAAATTAATTGCAAGTTGGATTTGCTCATCATTCTAAATTAATGAATTATAATTATTTCTATAGATAGAATAGTAGTGCATATTTTGGATTAAGCACAACAGGCAGAATCAATTTTTCAGTTTAGAAACCTGAAGGAAAGATTATTGGAGAATCAGTGAGAAAGTATATATATATATTAATAAATAATTAAAGAGCATTGAAAGAGAAAAGACCTGCTCATATTAGTTTATCATTAGATATACAAAATAAATAGTGTTTATTATAATATGAAGACATTAAGATTGAATATAGTAAGAAGAAGTGTTCCAAATAAGGATTTGGTGGAGAGACAGGAGCTGAATAATTCTTTTAAAAAAATAAGAAATTTGTATTATTTTTTATTGGGAATTCTGCAGATATGAAATGCAAAGTGGTTTGAATATAATAACAAATAAATATGACATGAATTTATTTATATGTTCATTTAAAGTTCTCAGAATACCATTTTTTAGTGAATTCATCACAATCCAACAATTAAAATTTCCATCCATTAATTTAGGCTTCATTACCTACAATTAGATCTCCTGGAGTGAAGAATTCATTATTGTTATTAACATTTTTATATTTTCTTTTTTCTAAGAATTTACCATCAGGGATTCCTAATTATTAATATATGATATATACCTGAATTTCTAACAGTTGGTTCATAAACCAAAAGACTATCATCATTTAAAAAGAATGTAATAACAAAAACTCTATCTTTATCTTCAGGTTTATTTGTATTAAACATAGCTAAGAATCTTAGATTGACTTAATTATCAACCCATTTAAAGAAATCTTTTTTAGGAGGTTTTGGCTATAATCTATAGATATATCCAAGAGAATCTTATTCATCTCCAATTCCATTATGTGGTGGAATGATTATATCTAAAAGATGAATAATAATATAATATACTAGATCTTTCTTATTAAATAAATTCTTCTTAACCACCTAAAGGAAAATCAACATTAAATTTATCGAAATAGAATTGTCTAGTGAACTAATCACATCCATTAATAAGAAATTTACGATTATAAATTATTAATGGTTATCCATATTAAATATCTTATGGTCTTATGAAATCTTCTGCATAAGTTTATCCAGGTTAATTTAATGAGAATTTTCTGGGTAATTTTTATCTTCTCAACATCATAGGAAATGGAACTCTTCCTGAATTAGCAGAATTAATCTCTTTTATTTCAATAGTATCATCAGCTAAATAATAATGAAGTATATATTCAATATCTGAAAACACATAAAATTTCAGTACCTAAAATAAAATTATTTAATTATATACTTTTCTATCATTTTCTAAGAATTATTTCTAAGATGTAACTTTGCCTCCTCCTAATTTGTGTTCTAAGTAATCTTTCATCACTGTATCTTTTTAAGGTATAAATTTTGTCATTGTTTTAGTTTCAAAAGAATCCGATTATGGTACAAATGATGATTCTTATGGTATTCCTTATAACTATCACATATTAATTATATGGAATTACCTCATAAAACTCTCTTGTATATTAATCACAATCATAAAGACGAATGGTCTTTCCAAAAATGATAATGTCTTAGTTAATTCTGAAATCTTCAGGTAATATAAATGTCTTTGAGTTATCCGCTTTTAAAACCTAATATTAAAAACTGATAATACTTTTTGTCTTTTCAAAAATGCTCCTTGAGGAACTCCACTATTTTCTTGCTTAGGCTCTGTTATACTTAGAGAATGATCTTCAAGATAATAAAAGATATTTATTTTCCTGATACGATAATTCTCAAGTGCAGATTCAACTACTGCTTCTTTAAAGTAACCATTAAATCGAAGAACATGTCTATCCATTTTTACCCAACTAGGTTAGTATAATTCTTCACTGTCATTATTAGCATTCTATTATGTAACTGTTTTCTTACTTTCGGAAGATGCATTGCATGAGTAGTACTCATATAATCAGGATTGAACATTCCTGATTAAGGTGGTATTTGAATTGGTTATTTACGAGGTACAGGATATTCTTTATTAGGTAAAAAATTTATTTCTCTATTCTTATCTTGCTTATTTGATGAAACTTTTCTAAAGTTGGGTTTCTTGTATTATGAAGTATTTATTACATCTATTTCTTAAGTAGGGACGAAACCTGGTAATTTAGGAAAAGCGGATGCCATTTAATTAATATATTATTATTCATTCTGATAATTCATCAGTTTCATTCTCTCTGTCGGAGGGATTGTTATTATTCATAGAGTCTTCCTTAGTCTAAGTATAATTATTCTTATTTTGTTCTATTAATTGCCCCACTTAATTATCAGAGTCTTCAGGTTCAGGTTCATCTTGTACAGTTGAATTTTATTTAGGAAGAGTTATTTGAATTATAGGTTTTTCAGGCTCCTCAAATATTGCAGATAACTACATAAAATAATAAATCATACCTATTGTATAGACTTCTATATTTTAATGATAGGGAAATATAATCCAAAGATAATATTCTTATAGTCTCTAGCCTTAAAAAGCAAGAATTCAAATTGATTTCTATTATTCTTGAAATGCTCTGCAACATAATCAACTTAAGTTGCCAAATTAGCAAGTATTGCTATCATACAAAAGCTATAATTTTTATCCATTTCATATTGTGATCTAATGGCATTCAAAATAGAAGTGCCTTTGACATAAGATGAGGATTTGATTGGTTCACTAAAAAAAGTTTATAAACGCATTTCTAGTAGATTATCATCCATTTTGAATAAAGCCTCTATAGTTTAAGAGAGAGGTTCCAATTACTACCAATCAATTAGAAATTCTAAGAATTAAGAAACAATTTATGTAATAACTTGATTACTAATATTATGATCCTTCCAACATATATGTTTAATCATATCTATTAGATTAGGTTAGAATTGAATCATTGCTAATATATATTTCTTGAAATCATCAGTATCCAATAATCTCTTTAACCAATATTTATCTATATCTAGATTCTTTTATCCTCTGAATAGATAAGTTGGAGCATCTTCATTTTATTCAATCATGATTTCAGTTCTACAACTCATTATTACTTTAGAGATTATATCACTGACAACTATTAATGGCTGATCAACATTATTAGTACTCAATTACTATAATTTAAAGGAAGTAATCATTTACACTCCTTATACTTGTTCTTACAATAATTAATAAATCTATTTAAAGTATTCTTATTAGTAAAAATATTTTACTAATAGTTGATTACTTATTAAAATATTTTTAATAACTTAAAAGTATTCTGTACCTCTTCTTAGAGTATTCTTCACTGTTACTAGTAGAACTTAGATATAGAATTAAAGAAAACGACCTATACAAGTATCTTCAAATAAGTAGTTCTATTCATATTCAATTATTGTTGTAATTGATTAGACAATCAATTGTCCAAATGCGTTTCTTACTTCTGAATGAGATGATTCTATCAATAAATCAACAATTAATTATTTCTAATTTCTTAACAAATCAAGAAACCAAAAATTAGTTGCTGGTTCCTATTTGTACATATCGCCCAATATCTAAATATTATATTAAAACATCTATGGATCTTTGTTTCTTAGTAAAACTTCATAAGTGAAAAACGTAAATAATTTTACCATACCAAATGAAGGCAGATCTTCTAATTCTCTTAAATTACTTTCTTAAGATAATAATTAAGTCACTGTATATGGAGTTTTGACTTACAATGTCTGAACAAAATTTTAAATGAATTTAAAGTAATCTTGAGCATAAAATAACTAATTCTTTAAGTAATCTGTATTCTCACCAATTACTTAATTAATTAATAATTCTTCATTAGTACCTTTTACATATAATTAATCAGGAATATCATGTTTAACCTTCTCATAAAATAATATATAAGCATTTTTACTATTACTCATTCCCCAATCAGAAAGATTATTATTACCTCCACCAAAACATTCCATCTTTAAATTCTCAATTTTAAATGGACAAATCAATTTATCATTGAATTCATACCATTAATCAACATCTCTAATAAAAGAATAATAATGTCCTCCCTCTGCACTTCCAATGTGTACCAATACACCTTTGAGAATGTACATATAATCACTCTAATCCTCAATTTCCATATTCTCCACAATACTATCACGAGTCCACTTAAACATGTTGATTTCTTAAGGAAATTCAAAGTAATCATTAATCTTAATTCTCAACATAGTATTGTAATCGAATTCAAATCGTTTTAAATGGAATATAAAAGTATTTGGTAACTTCTTAAAATATTGTCTCTTTTAAACATCTATCTTTCTTTATACCTCTTCACATAAATACTTATTTTCACCATCAAGTACATCTCCTTTAACAAATAAATCCAATGCTTCTTCAAGACATTTTTTATGTTTGATATCTATTGAAACTGTTAAAAATGGTTCTTCATTCTCTCTTCTAAAATCACAATCCGCTTCTAATGACTTTATTTCATTTATTAAAGTACCACCTAATAATTATGGAATGAGATTTGATTAATTTGTAAATTTTTAATCTTATTCTAATTTATCAGTAATCAAATTAAAGAATTCATTGCAATCTTATTAAATAAGAACATTGATAACTTCTCCATCAAATCCCTTTAAAGTTTTAATCAACTAATGTGGATTGATGTATTATTTAACAGACTCTTGTAATTGAATGAAAACTAATTATAATTGATGTAAAGTATGATCTGTCAATTTACGTTGTAATACTGGTAAATCAACAGCAGCAATATTATCAAAGACTAAAGGAGCTTTCATTTCAGTGATCATGATTTGACCGTTTAAAATTCCTTTTCTCAATGGTTTATTCATATAAAATTATTAAAGAAGTGAGTTGATGTAACAAGTAGCTCCGAGATTTTTTAATCCAACAAATCCATGAGTTCCTTTAATTCCTAAGTCCATATCTACTTCATGAATATCAAATTTGAGTTTATGATGATTTTGAATAAGAGACAATATTTAAACAAGATGAGATTAATTTTAACTTAATTATAATAATAATTAAAAGGCTCTTTTTCTGGTTAATTTACGTTTATAGACAGGATATTTGTAATAATCATTATTCATTTCAAATAAAGATTGATACAAATATGATGTGAATTATATATCTACTGTAATATTTGAATCAACTTATAACAACGATGTTAATAATAGTAAATTTCCCTATAATAATTTATCTTCATTTTCTGTAAATCTCTACTCAATAATTTAACGATTAGAAATCAATGATATAATTTATTAGGCTAATTAATGAGTATCAAAAAATGTTAGGTCATTAACTTAACCAATCAATCCAGCAATAACTAGATATAATTCATCATATTGAGTTTCTCCTTTAAACAATGTTTTAAGAATATCATTACTAAGATTTACATTATTTTTTTTAGCAATGTCTTATAAAGTGAGGATGAAATAAGCAGTCATTTTTCTTTGTTCTTCATTTGAACTTGCCAGTAATTCAACTAATCTATTTATAGGTAATTAAACTTTTAAGAGTTATGGTTTCATGTATAAAATACATAGTATAGTTGTATATATTTATTCAACTCCCATTCTTTAAATTAAAGCATCTAATAATACATCCCATTCTACATCTAATCCACAATTAAAAAATAGATTCTATAAAAGTTAAGCCTCATCAAATCCTTGAATATTGGGTTTTTCTTATTTCTGAAATTGAATATTAAATAAACTACATATTCTAGGATCTTCCTCTTTCTATTAGACTGCTTATTTTAATTTAAGTAATTGCATAAATTCATTTTAATTCATCATTAATCTACTTAATGAATAAGCTGTAAAATATATTTGGAATATATCTAATATGATTATTAATATTTCAATTGAGTTATCTAATTAAAATAACAGTAGATTTAAGCCACCATGAAATAAAAAACTTTCTCTTAAGATTCTTCGTTTTTCATATTCATCTTAATCTTCTATAAAATCACATTATAATTATTCTTTTAGAATTTGTAGATGATATTATAATTTATACTTATTATCCACAATCAAGAAATTATACCAATCTAATTTAGATTATTCAATCAATTCATACACTTACTTATTTCTTGGAATCATTTATAAGATTGACCATATCTTAGTATTCTATTCACTATTTCCTTAATTCAATAGTAGGAATAATTAATCAATATAATTATTTGAAATCAACGAAGCAAATGAAATCTCATCCATATGTTATTTAACTATCTACTTCTATTTCTTACTTTATGGATTCTTCTATTAATATTCTTATAACAATTGTTCTCCACGATCTAAAATATCACATATTGCATTTTCTACTTACCAATTCTTTTCTTTCAAAACAGAAAGTATAAATTCCTTGTCCTAAATTTAAACAATATTCACTATCTCTTATACTCTTTCATCTGCATCCGGTGGCACATACTCATTACCAATTTAATTAGTTGTATTATTATAAGCATTCATCTCATCTGTCATTATCTCTCTCTTTGTTATTACAAAAGTTAATTTCTAATTTACTTTATAATCTTTTAATGTTTTATTATCATCAAATAAAGTCCCTCTACAAATTATATCTATTTCATCTGCCTTCAGAGATGGATTCAATTTCTATCCAATTATTTGTTTAGCTTATAATACCATCAATCCACTCAATAATTGAATATCTTATCTCTTTGGAGGCATTGCATCTATACATTTATTATCTATTGTTACAAACACCTTTTCACCCTACTCAGCCAATTAGTATCCTTCAAACTCTTCTAACAGTTTTATTATAAATGATAATGAATTTGGATTTTCAATCTAATTAAATAATTATATTAAATATTCTTATTTTAATTTATTTAAAATGCTCTATTATTGTTTAAATCTCAATAATCTCACCAAAAATTCTTATAATTTTATTCCCAAATCCTCCTATTACTTGAAAATCTTCCATAATACTTATAATCCAATTATATCTGCATCTAAAATTGTGTATTAATCATACTACAACTTCATCACTTTATATTGCACATTGAAATACAAAATTAGATTTGTCAAACATTATAACATTGATTAACTTTAAACTTAACATTTTAGAGTAGAAATAAATAATAATTCGATTGCTTCCTAATCCAAAAATTTCTTATTAACATCTCCTACCCAATTGAAAAATAGATCTCTTTCTTCATAACATCTGGCATTCTCTACTAACAATTTCCATAAAATCATCAGTTAAGATTTAGTTATTTTTGAATCTTGATGAAGAAACTGATAAAATTTAACAAGTTGTTCTATGATTTATAAATATTCTTTATTATCTTTTTTTATAATTCTCAATTTTTCTCTTGCCATAACTTTCAAAAAGTTGATCTTAATATCATATTTTTCCTAGATTCTTTTTAAGACTTCTTTCTAATTAGGAAATTCATCTAAAGGATAAGAAGAGGATATAATTTTTTATAAGACTGTGATATAATTGGATACAGGTAATGGTTAATCTTCTGCAATTAAATTAGAGAAGCCAAGAAAGAGATATTAGATTCTAAGCTATTTAAACTGATGACAAATCAAATTAATGGCAATAGTAAATGCAGATTATCCAATTTCAGTTGTTGGTTATTCATGGACGATATTCAATAAGAATTCTACAATATGTGATTATAATTTGATAGCTTTTTAATTATCAAATTATTGAATAGTTTCTGTTTTATTATATTCTGATTCTGTTGTATCAGTTTCATATTGTTAATACTTTCTTTTTCCAGATGCTCTATCATTTTATTTTGTAAAATTATCATCATTATTTCTTAGATTTAAAGAATCTTATTCTTATTCTTATCTTATGTATTTATTTCTTCCTAAACTTTTAATAAAATTGAGACCATTTAAATCAATTTAATTTTACTATATATTTTATATCATAGTATCTACATCTTCTAGAGTTAAGATTTCAGCTAAATCTGTAAGTAATTTGGAAATCATATTATCCCATGTTTCATGTTTTCCTTTTCCTAATCTAAGAATAGTAAATATTTCATCTTTGCTTAATTAATGATGTAAATAAAGAAATTAAATAATAGGAAAACTTCTTTTGATTAATTCAAAATGTGCTTTTTCTCCAAATAATTCTTGAAAAACTTGGTTGTCTACGATGTATTTTAAGACATTGTCATTTTTATACCATTCTTCATTCATACTATACTATTAATTCATGAATTCATTGGACTAAGCAGTATTGATTTTATCACAAAATTATTACAATCCTTGAAATGAATAAAGTAGATACCATATATTCTTTTTTCTAAAGCAGTGCAACGGAAACATTGTAAATAGACACTCATTTCTGCTAAAGCAATTAACTCTTTTTTTTCAGAGGATTTATAAAATTAATCAAATATATTTTCAATTCCTTCAATTAATTTTTTGATTGTATCTCTATTAGAATTTTTAATTTCTTCTTCTGTTAATTTAGATGTCAAATTCTAAAATGAAAAATGATGAAAGTAATTTAAAAATTTCTACTTATCAAGAAAGGAATTCAAATATTAGAAAATAGAAAAGATATCTAAATAGTTAAGATTGAAATTCATCACAGCATCATCTAAAAGTGCAAAACCTCCATTTTTATAAAAATAATGAATTTGCATTCTTTAAAATGGTGATAGAGTAAATACATCTTAATTCAATCGATATTATTCTAAGATTTCCCCTTTCAAAGGATAAAAAGTCTTGGAATTATAAATCTCTGTATATTAAAGATTATCATAACCTTCAGCTTCTGAACTAACACGATGATGTAATCTCTCTCCATAGAAATCATTCATAGTTTCAATATATACACTTAAATCCTTAATTCTACTATCATAAAACGAATTGCATTGAGTCTAATGTATACGTTTTAACAATGCTAAACTTATCTAAGGATATTCTTTCCAAATCTTTAAACATACTCTTTAAATAAGTAGCAATATCTCATTGATGTAACACTAAATCTTTAATTTGCTGGAATCAGTTAAACTATTTAGAAACAAGCAAAATACACTTTATCCAGAGTAACCTCTATCATTGGTTACAAACGCTTATTCACATATTGATTTATATCAGGTACAATCACTGCTCTATCATATAAATATGCTTTTAACTCCATCTCTAATTCAAGTAAGTATTCCATCCACTTCATTGAATAATCTTAAATTATATTTCATTCTCTACATGCATGTAATTAAGAAGCTTTCTCTGAATGTAATCCATCATTTAATTCTATTATTTCTTCTCCTTCCTCAAATCTTCTCATCTTCTCCAAATCATAATACAAATCACTGTATGTAGAAACTTGGACATATCTTTTTGGCTATTCCTATTTCAATCCATAACATTCACCATCATCTAAACCTCCATTTAAATTATTCATAATCTAATATTTATTATTATTTCGCTATTTTACATTATCAACTTTTAAACAATACTTTTTCACACTCATTTTCATTATCAACCTTTTCATTTTACATTTACCAACAAATCAATCTAATACTAATCAACTTATTCTATTTCTATCCTTTATTCTTCAATTTACAATCCTTAAATTTATTATCTATTTCTCTTATTATTCTTAGTATATCTAATTTTATTACTTAATTTATATTCTATATCTTATACATAACTAAAATACATCACGTATCAATTTATTATTTTATGTTAATACATATTATATGATAAAACAATCTTTTTGTTTCATTTATAAATTGAATTTTCAATCGATTATTTTCATTAAACAGAACTTTTTTACTTTAAAGATATTATATGGATTTATTATCTTTTTTCAATTACATTTTTAAAATATATAATAATTATTAATATATCTTTCTTAGATATATCTATGAATCTTTCTTTAATCTTTTGCCTATTTCTTTTTATTATCTACACAATCGATTCATAAATATTTAAGAAATCTCTGAATAATAAACTTTATTGAGAAATTAATTATTTATATATTATATTCATAATCATTAAAATAAAATAAAATATTATATCAATCTAGCTCAATTTATGAATATATTGAAGTGTTTGATATAATTAATATAATTTTGATAAAAGTGTTAAAGCATCTTTTAATTCTTATACTTAAGGTTCATATGCTTCATGTTCTTATTCTCTTATTAAATTTTCTTCATCTATTTTTTTATCTATTTTATTATTCTTCAAAAGCAGCAATTCTAAGTTCTAATTATTCTTTTCTTGGAATTAATAAGTTTTCAATAACATATACTTATTGATTAAGTTAAACAAGTAATGAATTATGTTCATTTGTTCTGCGTTAAAAATTGAAATCTAATAATTCAAGTCTCATTTTTTTTATATCTCTCATTAATAATCTTAAACATCACTTACTCATAATAAATAGATTATATTTTCATAATCAATATTTTTCATTTGCACTAATCAATCACCTTTCTCATAAATTTTTGTATTATTTCTTAGTTGTTAATAAATTAATATAAAATCCTTTAAATCATTTATTTTTTATATTTCTGACTTGTTTTATTTTAGAAACACACTTTGCTATAAAAATTATCATTATCAATATATTTAATTATAAATTCCTTAAATTTCTAATTCATAATAAAAAATAATAGAATTATTATGCATCCATCAAATTTATTTAAATATATTTACAATATTAAAAATGGACTATTACGGAGAAGATTATGATACAAATGATTGTTACTCTTACCCATCTAAAAGGTTTTTATTTTAAATATTTAAAGTTAGGAAACTCTTGAATTACAAGATTTTATGGAATATATAGATCAATTGATCAACAATATAGGAGAATTATTAAATTTTGATTCTGATAACACTTATGAAGTATCAAGATTATAAAATTTAGATATTAATGTTTTATAATTGGAACAAAGATAGAATCGAGAGTGAATACCATGAAAAAATTATAGAATAACTGTAAAAACAAGGCATTTTAAATAATCATTCAGCCATTTCTTACGAAAACAATATAACTAGTTGTCCTTTATGTTTAGAAATTACTACTATGGTTAAATTAGGATGTGGACATTTATTTTGCCATAGTTGTGTTACACATACAATTGCTTAAAGATTTTCAAAAGAATAATTTTTGGTTGTTCCTTGTTTATAATATGGATGTAAATATAGATTACCAATTTCAATGATTAAAAAATTTTCTAGACTAGAGGATTTTAAAAAAATAATTTGCAAAAAATTTATTGATACAAATAAATCAATTGCATATTGTCTAGGAGTTGATTGCAAGAAAATATTAAGACCAAAAGATTTATCAATAACTACTGTTACATGTTCTTGTGGAACATCATTTTGTTTCAGATGTAAAAATGAACTCCATCTACCTGTTCCTTGTGATATGGCTAAGAAATGGGTTTCTGAAATAAATAAAAATGAAACCAATATATTATGGATAGTTCTCAATACAAAAATATGCCCTTTTTGTAAAAAACCTGTTGAAAGATCCGATGGATGTAATTATCTAATGTGCAAACCTCCTGGAGGTTGTGGAAATGCTTTTTGTTATGTTTGCTCTAATCCTTGGGAACCAGATCATAAAGATCATTTTATATGTAGTAAATATGTTCCCCCTACTAATAATTTATTTAGTTTCGCTAAATTAAATTTCTCTTTCGAAAAATTCTTATATTCTCAAATTGATGTTGAATAAAATTAAAATAGATTAAAATAATTTAAATAAAAATTAAAAACCTTAGAATTTTCAAAATTTACTGCTCTTGAAGCTACATTTTTGGAAACCTCTCTCTAAGAATTAATTTAATCTAGACAAGTTTTAAAATGGTATATAACACTTTTATAATTTAGGACTTATTGTCTTGACTATTTCATATCATAAAATAATTCTAATTCTTATAAACTATTCAATAATTATTTATAAGATTTTGAAGATTCTTGTGAATAATTAAGTTAAGTTTGTATGTAACTTTTGGATGAGTTTGAATAAATGCAATATTAATTTCAATATATGACATAAGAAGAAAAAAGAGATGTCTTTTTAAAAATAGAGCAATTTCAAAAAGTGTTAAATAAATGTAAATTATTGAGAATTAATCTATTAAAAGCCAGTGAAAATGATGACATAATTAAATGATTTATATTTAAATATAGTAAAATTTTGTATTAATATTCTCAATTTCTCTCAAATCAGAAAAATTGCTAACACATAATATCATTCTAAATAACTTACACTATTTGTGTTATTATCTTTTTTTACTAAAATTTATAAGTTTCATATCCTTAATTTTTAAATAACCTTCTCTAATATTTTAATAAAAAATAAAATTTCAATTGCTTAACATGCTTTATCCACATAGAAGGAGATATAATTAAACATAAATAATGTTTTCTTTTGATGAATAAATCATATAAATCGATCGAAATTATCAATATTCTTAAATGTATTATTCCATATTAAAATGAGTTATTTTATTTCAAGTAAAGTGACTGAAAACAAAGAATTAAGATATAATTCAAACATTCAAATATTATAATTAAAGTGATAAACAATTTGTAAAAGAAAAGTATATAAATAATTAATTTATATAGAGTAGTTTTTAGTAATTTTTCATCTCAAATTATAGTTAAGCTTAGAATGGGAGAGGTAATTTATGTTAAAAGTAAAATCTATTAAAATAGTTTAGAATTTTATGATGTTGGAAAGGAAATTAATAATAATGTGTAAATATAATGAGGATGCATTGAAAATACAAGATCCTAAAAAAGTAATAATATTTTTTTTTGATCTGAGTTACATAAGTTCAGAAATGAGGATTTAAAATTTTAATTAATTTTTTTCATAAAATCTTATAAAAATAGATCTTTTCAATATATTTAGAAATAATCTATCAAATAAAAATGTTATTATAATGCTCTCTAATTTTCCTTGATTTTAATCTAAAATTTGTTCCTTTTAAGACTTTAAAAATTAAAATTGTAAACATATTTGGGACAGCAAATACCTAAAAAAAGAACTAAGAATTAGAATAAATGCAATGGAAGCAAAAATGTATAACTTTAAAATGAAAATTGGAGGTGATTTTAAAAAGATTTATATTGAACAAATAAATTGACTCAAGATTACTTTAAAAATAAAGGTAGAAAAGTCTAGCAAAGTTAGTAAGATGATTAAATTGTAGATAAATAGAAGAAATAAAAGGAAAATATAAAAATCAACAAAAAAAGTGATAATTAGTATTTGATCTTTTTGATTATTATAATATATAAAAATAATTCATCTAATATAAGATATTTTATATTATAATAATTGAGAAGGCAAAAGGTAGTATATAAAGGTACTAATATTAAAAGTTATATAAGAAAGATGAATAATTAAATTTTGTTTATTATAAGTAAAAATAATATAATAATATTTATTAATATATTAGTGATGTCTGAAAAAGATAATTTATGTTCTTTAACATTTACATGCATGATAACAGTGTGTTATTTAGGAGCAATAGGATTATGTAGAACAGTGTTGTTCTCAAATATTTTAAAAATAGATAATTAAGTAATAAACTCAGTTTCTCTGGGTATATTTAGCCTAATATTTTTGATTGGACCTTTTTCATTACCATTATTTTAGAAATTGATATTGAAATTCACCTACAAGTATTAATAAATATTTGATTTAGAGCAGTATTTTTTATAACGAGTGTAGTAAATGTTTTGAGTATGGCTTTATATGTAGTAGTGATTGAATAGAAGCCTTAAGATGTTTATTTAATAACAACAATTATAATATTTGAGGGATTGTCAGCTCCATTTATGGCAATATATTATTGTTCATTTAATTATTATGTTCGTAGTATGTCAAATAAGAATAATGTGGGTATATATTTTGGAGTAGCATATTCATTATTTTGTATGTAAAATTTTGTTGGAGATCTTTATGTAGTATTTGAAGGTAAGATATATGAGTATAATTAATATTTCTATTATCCAATGTTAGGAGTATCATTAATAATAACTCTATTATACTGGTTCATCAAAGAACCAGATTGTTTATCAAAATCAATTACAAAATAAAGTATTGATTTATAAAAGAAGTTGAATGAACATATTTATGGTTCTATTTTGGATGATGATGAAAGAAACACAAATATAGATGAAAATGAATATATGAATTAGATGAAATAAATATGGAGGATTCCAAAGATATATCCATAATTTATGTATTTAATACCAACACTTATATCAATCGGGATGTTCACTGCATTTAGTGTAGTATATTCTTAGGATATGATTGAACCAAATTACTCTAATTTATCTTAGTTGAAACCAGCGATTATCACTAATTTAAGTATTCATGGAATAGGTTAATTCTTGGGAGGAATCTTAATAGGATTATTATCATATTCATATGGATACTTAAATTTGTTGATGGTATTATAAATATTGGGGATAGCCACTTATATATTATCAGTAAATTGATGATATTAATTAAGGATTGTTGGTGAAGCAGATGAAATTAATCAGAATAAGAATAGTCTAGTTTACACTTTCAATTTTATGTCGGGATTATTAGTCTCTGCAATTCAAGTGATAACATTCTCTTATTGTGGGTCAGTATATGTTGAAAATAAGAATGTTCTATAATTATGTAATTGGATATATTGTTGGAGTTTCTATATCTTCACTATCTTCATGAGTTTACCTAATATTCCAGGTTTAACTAATAAACCATTAATTATTGGTGTAAATACATTTGGATCTTTTATTCTAGCATATTGTATTTTTAATTTTATTTGTTTATGGTTTCATAAAAGGAAATTCTTATAATAAAGAGAAAATGAATGAATTATAAATATATAATATAATATAATATAATATAATATAATATAATATAATATAATATAATATAATATAATATAATATAATATAATATAATATAATATAATATAATATAATATAATATAATATAATATAATATAATATAATATAATATAATATAATATAATATAATATAATATAATATAATATAATATAATATAATATAATATAATATAATATAATATAATATAATATAATATAATATAATATAATATAATATAATATAATATAATATAATATAATATAATATAATATAATATAATATAATATAATATAATATAATATAATATAATATAATATAATATAATATAATATAATATAATATAATATAATATAATATAATATAATATAATATAATATAATATAATATAATATAATATAATATAATATAATATAATATAATATAATATAATATAATATAATATAATATAATATAATATAATATAATATAATATAATATAATATAATATAATATAATATAATATAATATAATATAATATAATATAATATAATATAATATAATATAATATAATATAATATAATATAATATAATATAATATAATATAATATAATATAATATAATATAATATAATATAATATAATATAATATAATATAATATAATTATAAATAAATGTATAAGTATAATTTTGAATAAAACTCTTAACATCGTATAGATATTTTAGAATTGAATGATGAGAAATGTAAATTCAGTTTTGAAGGTGATTTATCTATTGCAAATGCTTTAAGAAGGGTTATGATTGCAGAAGTACCTGTAAAGAATTGGGGCTAAATAATTAGGTTATGGCAATTCATTTTGTTGATATAATTGAAAATACTAGTCCACTTTCAGATGAATTTTTAGCATAAAGATTAGGTTTAATTCCTTTAGTTTCATATGCTGCTGATAGCAAAATGTATGATTGGGAAGCTGATGCAGATTCAATTGAAGATTAAAAAACAAAAGTCGTATTTACATTAAGATAAAAAAATCTAAATGATGCTCCTTTAGAAATTACAAGTTAACATCTTGAGCCTGAATTTGGTTAAGTAGGTGAAATGGCTATAAGACCTGTAAGAATGTTTTCACCCATAAATAATAAAGAAGTTGGAATTCCTATTACTAGATTAGGAAAGAATCAATCTGTTCATGTTCGTTGTCATGCACTAAAAGGATTTGGTAAAATGCATGCTAAATGGAGTCCTATTAATATTGCAACATTTAGACATGAAGCAGGTATTAATTTCATTTATAATAATACTATTTTTTATAGAACTTAATATTGATCATTCATAATAATAAACTCTTTCACTTATTGAAAAAAAGTCTATTAGAGATTCATGTCCGATGAATGTCTTAGGAATTGATGTTAATCATGATCTTATTGTAAATGCTATTGAAAAATGTATATTTTGTGAAGAATGTATTCGTTGTGTATATCCTATTTATTTTAATCAATAGGCTGAATCAATCAAAAAACCAAGATTAATCAAAATGCAACATAAAAAAAATAAATATATATTTACTGTTGAAAGTGCTGGATAAATTAAGGCTGCTGATATTGTATAAAAAGTATTCATTCATGCATTATGTAAAAGGCTTTAATTGTTTTAAGAAAGAAAGTCGATGAAATATCTTAGGATCTAAGCTTTGCTTAATAATAATAATTAAATTGAAAATTAATTTTATTATTGTCTAGTATATAAATATATATATATAAATTTAAATAAGCCTATAATCAGTTCTTTTAAAATAATTTTAAAATCTAATTATTATGCTGTCTTGCGTCTCATTAAATTCTAAGGATAGTTTAGAAGAGTTTCTATAATTGTATCAGTGCAAAGATTCCAAGAAAAAAACTGTCTTGAAAAAAGAGCGAGAAATCGTTCAATATTTAAAAGGACTAGGACTTCAAATGAAAACAGATCCACTTCTTAAACTATCACATATTGCTAAGTAAACAATTTCAATAAAATTAGTTTTGCTATTTAAAGTGATATATCACCTGACTCAAACGATGAAATTGTCCTTGAAAGAAAATTAATCCATAATGAGGATAGTGAATTCAACATCTCCAACAATCCTTTATTCAAAAGAGGTAGTCGTAAAATTATACGTACATACTCTTTTGAAAATAAAAATCAAATTGTAAATGATCAGGATCCTTAAACAAATCATTTTGACTGATTATCTATATTTGTTATAGATTAACTTTACATTAATTATGTTTATTTTATGTATTCAAGACTATTTAGACTTTATTTATATCATTAATCAATTATTTATCACAAATGTATTAGAAAATATTGACAGATTTATTGATTATTTAATGATTAAATATAAAGTCTTTTTTTCAGAATAACCTCGCATATTAGATAATTCCTCATTAAACAATTTTTAAAATTCATTAATTTTATATTTTCTACAAAATATGAAAGCCTCCTTTATAAAATCAAAAATTTATTGAAATCCAAAAATAAAGCATTCTAAAAATGAATTAAATTTAAATTTTATTTATACATCATGATTTCTAAAATTGAATGTTAAATACATAAAGGAGAAAAAGTATCTGCTATTTGTGTAGATTCTTATTGTATTGCCAATATTTAGTGTTGTCCTATATGCATCAAAGAATTACATAATGTACATGACCATAAAATTGTGTCTCTAACCTCTTTATAATAATTTATTTCCAATCAAGAAAATATCAAAAGATAAAATGTTGAATTCACTTCTGTTAAATAATAATTAATAGCTAATAGACTTCAATTAGCAGAACTCACAGAAATAATTGATACCAAAATAGATAGTCTAAACAAAAACTAGCTTAATTTCAATTTATCAATTGATTAATTGATGAGTCCAAATTCATAAGAATTACAAGTCCTCAAAATTTTACTGAGTCAATATGAAATTTAGAATAATTCAGTTATTGGAATCAATGAATAAATTAAATCGAAGATGGAAATGTAAATCTCTTAATTACTTACATAAATCAATTTATTAACTACTGAATATACAAAAAAAATAAAATAAAATATTTCCAAACTTTCAGTTGAATAATTTAAGGAAGAACTGAAATTTTCAGAAATCAATAAACATAAACATATATAATTGAATGAAGGTAGAACTGCAACTCTTACATAATAAATAGGATATGCAGTTATTTATAGTGAATCAAGTTTTGATCCTTCTAAAGATAGCTTCAAATGTTCATTTTTAATTAATGTATATATCATTAATAAATTCTTAGAAATTATCTTATGGTTTAGTTGGATTTGGTTCTTTAGAAGCAAGCAAATAAATGCATTATTAAATTTATGATTTCTCAAAAGGACATGGTTTTTATGCTCTACACAATACTGGTGTCATTTATCATAGTGATGATTCAACCACAAATAATACAAAAATCAAAACTCTTACATTTGATAAGACAGATTCAATTATTTGTTATTATGATGCTCAACTATAATCATTCACATTCTATAAAGAAACCAATAAGAATGAAAAATTCACTATGAAACTAAATGACACTTCCAAGAGATTATATCCAGTTGCAATCCTCTTTGGTCCAGGTGATTCTATATCATTTATTTGAATGATATTTATAAAATATTATTTATAATTATTATTATATTTGTATATTTATTTTTCATTCATCAAGCTTAATGCATCTTCTTAGTAATTATTAGTGCTAAGAAGATAAAACCAAAAAAACCAATCAGATATTAAAGTTAAGTTTTCTTATAGATACTCATTTCTACTTTCTTAATTTCCAAATTTAAATTATTAATATTTGAATCCAAATCAGATAATTTATTATTTTACTTTATTGTCATTGTGTTTATATCCTAAATGACCTCATCTAAAGAATTGATATCAGAGTTAAGAGTCTAAAATTTAGTATTTTAGATAGAATTAGTTGTCTCACTAAAATTACTAATACTTTAATTCAAACTTTATAATTTACTATTTTAATTGATTGTATTTAATCTTAAATCTTGAATTACCACTTCTAAAGCCTTAATGTTTTACTCTAACTTCTAGAATTAAGTATCCTAATTAGAATTAATTTACTTGATATCCTTAATTGCCAAATCTAAAGTGTTAACATTTTAACCTAAATTCAATAATTTACTGTTTTAATTTGTTGTAGTTGTCTTAACATTCTTAATTTCTACATCTATAGCATTAATAGAAGAACTTATATTTTATAATTTAATTGATTAATTTGATGCATTATTCTTTAACTCTTTGAATTAAGCATCAAATTCATTTTAATTTGAATTTAGACAAGTTAATTTGGTGTTTGATATTTATGTGTTCTTCTTTACATCATTTATAGTGACATTCAAATTATTCAAATTTGTTTATAATAAATCAAGTTTTTAGATGCCTTTTTGCACTTCTTCTTTAACTTAAATATCTTGTAATTTACGATCTAGTTTTTCTATACTAAACTTAATTTCTTAAAAATAATTTTCAGCTTTAATTTGTTTTTATATCTAGATCTCTTCATCTACAGGATTTTCATTAGTCATTGTTATTTTATTTTAAATTGGCTATTGTTAATTCTCTAATTTTTATTGACAAATTTAAAGTTCTTATTCCAAATTAATAACATATTTGAAGAATCTCTTTGAATTTTAATCTAATTCAGTACAAAATTATAAATCATCATTTACTTTTTCCTCAAAAATTGTAGAAAATTTAGTTTCAAAATTATAATAAAGTGACATATATTCCTTTTAAATTTAATCCTTTGTAATTTATAAAAGATCCAAATCAATATTATCAAATATATATGTAGAATTTTTAGAATTTTATACTAAACTTAATTATTATAATTCTAAGAAAATTCCTTTTTCTTTTAGATTTTCAAAGTTTTTATAATAAATTTCCTAGTTTTAATTAATTTTTGTAAAATTCTTATCCATTGATCCTAAAATATCTTAACAAAACTTATTTTTAAGCTCTTAAATTAAGCTTATTTTTTCAGTTTATTCCTTCTAAATTATTGCAATAGGTTAAACATATTTTTAAATATAATGTTCTTAATGTTCTTCTTAAATACAATTTAGGCATTATAAATTATTTTGTGGATTTTATAAACATTTAGGATGAGTACATAACATTTTCATTTTACTTAAATGCTTTGAACATTTTTAAAATTCAAAATCATTAAGATTATTAATTTCTATTAAGTAATCCATTTATTTGAATTTTAAAAAGTTCTCCTTTTTAAAGTAAGTTGTTTAAGTAACAAGTATATCTCTTTTTGCCTCAATATCTTAAAGTTAATACTATAAATTTCTCAAAGATTACTTGGTGATTTCTTGATTGCTAATTTCAATTTTTTATAAATCTATTATGTAAAAATAAATATATGTATCTAATGAAGGATTCTTAAAAAGTTAATCAGCCTTTGAAATATTATATGTAAGAACACTATTTGAATAATCAGCAACATCATTGAACATTTTTTTTTGATTAGATTACCATGTTACAATTGAATTCAATAATTCTTATAATTTTCTTTCAATATCAGTTTATACTGCTGCATTTTTCTCAATAAGATCATTAAAGTGTTAAATCAAACTTTAATAATTTCTATCGGCTTTCTTCTAGAGTTCTGAAACACTGATAAATTAATGTTAATCTAATTTCTTCTTTCTATGCGAAGTTGTAAAACATTAAACACAACATAATTTGTTATCAGCTTTTTTAAGGCAAATTGGGTGAACACAAATGTATCTCTCCTCTTCCTAGTCATGAATCGAACAATACGATTTCTTCATTATTTTATAATTATTTTTTCCTGTAATAGAATTATGAAATTTAATTGATTTTTTTTATATTAGTAATTTTAGACTTTTTTCAAACTGATTAATTGAAAAAAGCCAATATTTTATATAGGTTTTTCAAATTTAAAATATATAAAAAATTAATTTCTATCCCTATAATTAAATAATCTTTTAGTATAAGTCAAATTAATAGATCTATTGAGCTCTGATTATCAAATAATAAAATTATTTATTGAATTAAGATGGATTGTTAATTCCTATACATTTTTCTTTAAAAATTAATTTTTTCTACTTTATTTCTATTAAACTCCCTTAACAATACCGATAAATTTATTCTTAAATTTTCTTATAATTACTTCAAATAACAGAATTAATTTTCTGTTCTATTTATAAATCTGTAGAAAACTTAATCCGTGTATGTCAGTTTGCCTGAATAAGATTTAAAAAATTACTCATCTAATTATCCTGAAAATAACAATTGCTTGTATACCATAATACATGCCATTTATTTAATGCTTTATTTCTTAATATTAAAGGAAAGATTGATTTAGATTAATTGATGAATATTGGAGTACTTTATTAAAAAGACTATTCAATGATAAAGTTTTTGAAAAAAAACATAAAAACGTAAGTTATTAATCAAAAACGAATAGATGGAAGTCTTGAATATAATTATTTATTGCAAATGAATCAGAAGATTTTATTCAAAGATGCAGCAAATTATTAGAATAACCATTTTAGAAATATATATTTAAAAGAAGTTACTTAAAAAGTGCTTCCTAATAGTTACATATTTATTTTACTAAAATTAAAATTTATAAAATAATTCATAGATAAGATCATTTTTTGAATGATATTTTTGGAATTTTAAAGAAAGAAAGGAAATTCAATAATGCTTAAAATTTCTTAAATAAATTTAATAGATTTTCTGTAAAATATTTTCAATGTTATTACCACTAATTAAAGTCAGTCTATATTAAATTGTTTTAAATAGCTTAAAATTTATATTCATGCAATATTATGGAGAGAAAATTGTTTTTTATCACTTAGATTTATATGATTACCTTTTTTTAAATAGTAAAAAATGATTATTATAATGAATGATATTAAAAAGTTAATACAAATATATTAATAATTAATTGAATAAATGGGATAGTTTTTAGGGCATTTACAAAATGCATAACCTCCTTAATCAAATCCATTACTAAATAATTCAATATCAAAATTACGTGAGTATCATGGGTCTTTTCAATCAGTTTGTGATACATTTAGTATAGATTTGACAGAGTTTGAATAGATATTTGGAAGTAATGAGACAATGTTTTAAATATGGGATACAGACAATAATGGGTATAATAATTATGTATATGTGTAGATTGATCAATGCTTTGGAATTATTTTCAGGTTTAATAATTTTTGCAGAAAGTAATTTTGAGGAGAAGGCGCGATTTTTATTTGATCTATTTGATTTCAATGAATTAAATTCTTTAAGTTTAGTATGAATATTTGATAAATTAAGATTGATTTGGATTTTATGTTGTTATCATGTGCAAATGCAACATTTAAAATAATGCAAATAAATAATGAAGTAAATGAAGAAGAAATCTCAGATTTTTTGAGTAATTTTTTTTCGGACAATTAAAGAGTAAACATAAGTTAATTTTTAAAATGGTGTGTAAAGACAGAAGAAATAAGATAATTTTTGTAATTGATAAAAAAGGAAGCTCCAGAATTAAAAGTGACAGCATAAACAGAATAACTTAGTTAGAAAATAGATGTTCTTAGATAAGTATTTAGTAAAGAGTTTGGAAAGAAACTTCTATTGCCAGATTCAAAACGTATGTATTTTGATCAAAGAGGTCTTGGGTATAAATATTAGTAAGTATATTAGATAAATTTTGTCATCAAAGGCATATAATTCAAAAATCTAGTGGATAAGTAGTTTAGCAAAAAAAGTATATGCACCCTAGCCTTAAATGTTTTAGAAGGATGTATATGCTAGAATGAATTGGGTATATGGATTTAGAGGAAAGGATGTTAAAAGACCTTTACTTTATATAAAGATGTAATCTAATACTGATAAAGCATTGAATGAGAAAATGGTATTCTTTACAGCATGTATAATTATTGTATATTATCCTAAAATAAATGAATAACGTCATTATTTGGAACATGAGAGTGAAGTGATAAGTGTAGCAGTCGCTAATAATTTGAGTTTGATGGCAAGTGGAGAATATGCAGAATAACCAGCTATTCATATTTGGGATAATAATACATTACATAACATAGGAGTGATAAAGGGTGTTCATTAAAAGGGTGTACATTTGTTAACTTTTTTTGGGAATGATGAATTATTAGCATCATGTGGAATTAGAGTAGCTTCTCCTATTTTGATTTATAATATAAAGGATTTTTCTTTAGTGTTATCAACTTAGGTTAATGAGTTTGCAGTTGATTTGTTGACCATAAAGAATTTTATAGGATCTTTTGGAGGATCTTAGCAATAATAGCAACAGGTAAGTCAGTAGAATTAATAAAATCCATTTAAGAAGTATGAAAACTCATTTGTAGTATGTACAATTTAGCAAATAATTCAATTTTAATATTATGATGGGCATTTTTTGACAAAAGAGATTTAGTTAGAGTAGTATAATTTATTTTCACCTTTAACATGTGCAACAGCATTAAGAATATATGCAAAAGATCCATATTTAAAAGCTTATCAGGATGAAGCAGAAGAGGCAATTGTGATAATATCAGGACATCAGAATGGAGCCGTAATTTTGTGGGAGAGTTTTGAAACAATGGAGTAGATGACATCTTATAAGGATTAGATAGTTTGCATAACAAGTTATTAATTTGGAATAATAATTGGTACAGATGCAAGTACAATACATTTATGGGATTTCAAATTTAAGAACAATATAAAGAATATAGATTTAACAGCATTTAGTTTTAAATTGTTTAGTTATGTTATAAGTGATATAGTGGTTGCTGGAGATAAATTATTGGTGGCGTCAACAGAAGGTGATGTAGTAGAGATCTTTTTGTAATAGAAATAGGAACATTCTAGCAATTCATTTGTAAATAAATTAAGAGCAAACAGAATAAATTATATAATATAATTGAGTGGAACATTATAGGCATTATGCATATTAGAGAGACCAGATAGTGATGATAAATTAGTATTTTGTGCAGGATCTTAATCAACAGTGTATGGATTTTCATTAGAGACACATGAAATAGTAGATGTATGGACAATAGGTGATTAGATATCATCTATGGATTGTATAAATTTTGAAGATGGTGGAGCAGTATTTGCTTTAGGAACAGTATCAGGTAAAGTGTATTTAAGATTGGATTGGGAAGAATCTCCAAGATGGTATGATTGTAAACATTAAGTAAATGATTTAAAGTTTTCATCAGATACATCATGTTTAGTGTGTGCAGTTTAAGATGCATTTGTATATGTGTTCTTTTTGAATAATACATCATATTTTTAGACAGCTCCAAAGAAGATACATTTTGAAGGAGAGTTTCCAATATGTTTGGATTTTGTGGATGATTGTAAAGCGTTTATAGTGGGGACAACAATGAAAAATCAATATAAGATTGAATTACCTGATTTGAAATCTAAAAACTTATTATAAGAGAATGAAAAATTGAATTCAACAACATGGGTGATACGTTATCCACTTAGTTCAAGTAGCAGTTAAAATTCAAAGAAAGATTAATATCTTCCATTATTAATTGGAGGGGATGTAAAGATCTTTTTGGCTGCAGGAGAAGGTGGTTATGTATACTTTTGGAGAGATAGAGAATAATTAGAAACCAATTGTGGTGGATTCTTAAGAGGACATGCTAGTAATGTAAGTAGATTATAAATGACTAAATCTTAAGATGTATTTTATACTGTTGGTACTAATGATAATACATTAATTGAGTGGAAGATAGATTTCATAAATGATTTAGCTGACTTTTCTAAACCATTCTAATAAGATGATAAATTATAAATCAATAAACCTGGATTGAATAATTTCTCTATGGCTTCAAATAAATAGGATTTCAATCAAACAATTGATGAGATCTTTAAAAGAGAGAAAGATTATTGTTTCTTTTTAAATAATATTTCTGATAAATTCAGAGATAATTTTGTTTAATTTCGTGCTACTAATTAAAAGATGCTTAATGGTTTACTTCAAGAACTCATTCCACCATTTGATAAAAAGTAACATGTGATGAAACGTGCACCACCTTTGTCTTTGACTCTTGATTACATCTATGGTTTTTTAGCGTACGATAAAAGACGAACCCTATTCTATGTTCATTTCTATAATAAGTAGGAAAAGAAAAAGAAAGGAGCTTAACAATAATAATAAGATCTTAAATCAGAATAACGTAAAAGAATGGAATAAATGAATTAATAGAGCATTATGTTACCTGTGTAATTCCAAAAAGAAATGTTATTTGCTAAATAAGCATTATTACCTTATGATGATTCACATAATGATTGTCAAAGACATTTTGTTTACATTACTTCCAGAATAGCAGTAGTCTACAATCCATTGAATAATCAATAGAAATTCTATGAAGGACATAGATTTAAAATCACTTGTCTTGCTATTCATCCTTTAAAATGTTTTGTAGCAACAGGGGAAAGTGCACCTAGACCTTGTATACATGTTTGGAATGTATTTAATACTGAACCTGTTAAGATCATAAGAACAAATCATAAAAATGGTATCTATGATTTGGTATTCTCCAGAGACTCATTATTTATTGTTAGCATAGGAATTGATGAAACATATTCTATTCAAGTCACATCTTGGAAAAATGAAACAATCATTGCCTTTAGAAATTCAGGCACCTTCCCTATATGCTGTGTTATGTTCAATCCCTATAATAGATATGAATTCGCTACTTGTGGATATCAAAATGTTACTATCTGGTCATTATAAGGAAGGAATCTAATTAGAAGTCAAGTCATATTGTCAGATGAAGTCAAATATTCTAATGGCTGTTTTATCACTTGTCTAAGTTATATTTCCTATCTTTTAGGAGATAAAATTGAAAGTGATATCATTGTCGGCAATAACTTTGGAGATTTAGCCTTAGTTGCATGTGGCAAATATATTGTTGTGAAAGAAAGGTATTTATATATATAGATATTATTTAGAGCTCATTAAAAAATGATCAATTGTTTAAAGATATCTGAAATACTAGGAGATAAGGTTGTAATTATTACTTGTGGAGAAGATGAATATATTAAAATCTGGGATACTAAATTTAATTTGATAAATGAATTCAATATTCGAAAGACTGGATTCTTTTAAGATGGCACTCCCGCTATTAGAGTATGATTTATCTTGTAAATTTAGAATCTATCTGCATAATCTATAGATATCTTTTCATGTCGTGTTCCAAAGAGACACTTGAATGAAGAGGAAGTAGAAGAATCACATAATTTATCTGTTATGTTAGTTGGAACTAGAAATGGAGATATCTTAGAGGCTGCATTTTAAGTAGAATTTTAAGGTCTAAAACTATAATAAATAAAAAAATAATAAAGTCATTCAGATGATGAACATAGTAATTCTCATGATTCAAGTGGATCTGAATAGCAGTAGAGACAACCTTATACAACAACTGAAACATTAAAATTCAATTATTCAATTTACATGAGATCTCATCAATCATAAATATTTGATAGTAAATAATAAATTGATTTCTTTAATAAGAAAATGTTCATTACTCTTCATCCCACTTAACCAATTATGGTATCAATGGGAGAAGATTAAAAATTAATCCTATGGGATACTGAGAATAACTCTCTATTGTTAGTTAAAAATATGGGTATGACACCAACAGCTATACGTTTATCCCCTGATGGAGATTTATTAGTTATAGGATTCTAAAATTCTATGGTTGTAATTATGGACTCCAAAATTTAAAAGAATACTATGGGAAAAGTGAGTGAACGATATTTATTACCCTCCTTAGATATTATTATGAATATCAAGGATAAAGATAATAAGACTCCTGTTTTAAATATTGAATTTTCACATAAAGGAGATATGCTTGCTATTTCTTATGATAATGCTCGTAGTTAAAAGGATGTGATTGATTCTAAATTAGAAAAAGAAGGTTCTTTTATATCCGTTTGGGTTAATAGAGGTTCTCATCGTACATCAAAGTATAGAGCAACAGATAAGAATTTATATTTAAAATATACAGATATACGTTGTCCATCCCTTTATGAATCATATTAAACTGATAATGATACTTATGGTGTTGCTGCTTATTTTATGACTTTTAGTTAAGATGGTAATTATCTGTTGATATATTATCAATTAATTAATAATTAATAAACTAGAATTAATAATGATCCTTAAGGTGTGTATATAATATGGGATTTGAATTCAAATACATCAGTTAAAAATTGGGAGACTATTAAAAATATTTAATGGAAAAAATTGAATTTCCCAAATAGTTTACATTCTCAATATTAATTTTATGATTCATTGATTGGTAATCCAAAATAAAAATAAGAATAAGAAACTAATTTGGCAAATGAAATATTAAAGACTCCGGTGATGTCTGTAATGGTTGATATATCTCCATTTCTAATCTGTGGAAGTACTAATGGAGATTTGCATTTAGTAAAATCATCTTGTCTCTATTATGATAAAGATTTTATCACTGAAATAAGTAAAAAATAAAAATGTTTGGCTAAATCGTATTCTGCCCATGTTTCATTTGTTAATTAAATAGAAACACATCAAAATGCTTAATATCTCTATACTACAGGAATATTGGATGAATGTATAATGAAATGGAAATTAACAGAAGAATAATAAAATTGGGATCTGGATTATTTAATATATGATAAGAAATAAGCAGATCTATTTTAAGAAGTATAAGAAAAAGAAAAATTCAAAAGTTTATTCTCAGAATTATTACCTTTACGTTAAGGTATTTCTGATAAGGTCAAAAATGTAGATGATACTAAATAACCTGAAGTAGAACTCAAATTGTAAAGTATCATTGGAAGAAGAGCCTTTACAAGGAGAAATAACCTATTTTATGATTATGATGAAAGACTCATCTATGTGGCAGGATGTAATCTAGTTATTGCTAGTTTAGATGATGAAGAAGAATAGGATGATAAATTTACATCTCAATTCAAAAAATATAATGGTGGATACATTCAATAAGAGAATAATTCAGTCTTTTAATAGTTCATCAAATTGGATTAATCAGATACTTCATCATCACCTGAAATCTCATGCATTACTTTAAGTCAAGATAAAAAACTATTATGTGCTGGTACTATTGAATTAAATGCTAAATTACTTATTTGGGATATATGTTCAAGAACTTGTGTTAAAAATATTGTCATTAATAATGCAGTCATGATTATGAATATCAAATTTGCTTATGATAATAGACATTTGATATGCAATGCAATCACATAAGAATATAGATAAGAAATACTTCTCATAGATTCAGAAAATCATTAGGTTCTAGGAGTTGTCACTTACACCTACTCAATACCTTACAAGATTAAAGATTTAGAATTCTATCCCAATAGTGTCTTTAGATTTGTTACTTGTGGAGTTTAACACATGTCTTGTTGGCAATTTGCTGGAGGTTCATTAACATTTCAAGCTATGGAAATTGAAAATCCCAAAGACTTAGTAGAATTGGTAGAAAATTAAAATGATGAACAAGAAGGAGTTTAGGATAATGAATAAGAATAAGATGCCTTAAGAATAACATTTTTAACTGTAATATTTGTTTAAGACGCCATAATAACAGCAGGAGAAGATGGATTTATTTATGTTTGGGATGATAAAAAGATAAATAAAAAATAAAAGGCTCATCCAGATTAACCAATATTCTGTTTATATACAAGCAAAGATTCTTCAATGTTTGTATCAGGAGGAATGGATGGAAGAGTAATTTTATGGTCTTTAAGCAAATCAGAGTATTCATATGTAGTGGAGAAGATTTATGAATATAGTATAGCAAATGAGTAGATACAGAAGGCAGGATTGAATCCAAATTTACATGTTTAATCAGTTTGCATAGGATAGAATTATATATTAGCAGGAACAAGAAGTGGTGATATTTATGAATTGGTGAGACCAAATGAATCTGATTTGAAATGTAAATAATTTGATAAAATTTAGCTTTAACAAAAATCTAGAAGGATATGGTGAAATTAAGAATAAATTGTACTGATCATGATTAACCAAAGGTTGTAGCATTTTCTGGTAATGCATAAAAATTATACTCAATAACATAGAAGGGATTATTTGCAGTATGGAATTTGAAGAAATTGAAGCGTACATATTCATTTGCATTTGAGAAGGCAACATTGAATTTAATAGTATGCAAATTATCACCAAAAATAATAATAGCATTTGAATAGGAAGTAATAGTATTGAATGATCATGATTACAGTGTGAATTCAAATTATTCATTGAAATAGAAATCAGCAATATCTGATATGAAATTGAGTGTTGATGAAAAGATGCTTGCATTAGCTTTATCAAGAAACTAAGAGTAGAATGCTAAAATAGAAATATATGATGTAGAAAATGAGGAGAACAATTTCAGATTATTATGCAGCATAGATAATTTAAATACCAGTGTAGAATATTTGGATTTTTCAACTGATAATTTCTACTTATTTTATAAGGATGTTTCAGATGAGACTGCATTAATAGATTTAGATTAATAGAAACGAATAAATAGTATGCATATGGAATTTGATTTGGAATGGTGTAGTGATGGAATAAAATTAGCAGAGAAAGCAAAAGGAGTACATTCATGTTACACAGATGAAAATAGAATACATAAGATTACATTAATAGGAGAAAAGTCAATGGCTGTATATATATATAATTATAAAGGTTACTGATGATATGGGAACAATTAGAATATTTAATTATCCATGTACTTCTGGATAAGGATATATGCGGATATACACTGATCATATGATGTATATAAATCAATGTGTTGCCAGTCCAGATAAAGAAACCTTAGTAACAACTTCAGAATAAGATAAATGTATCATGGTTTGGAAAATACAGAAGGTTGATGTGAATAATACATAATGATAATTTCATCATTTGAACTACACTTTAGGTAGTCCAGCTAAATTAAAGATGTGCTTATTTTTCTTTAAGAAATTGTCAGTTGTTGTTCTTAACATATCCAATTCTGTCTCAATGTTTTATTGTTTACTAAATTTAATTATTTATTCAATACGCTAACATATTATTCTTTTCTTAATTAGCACATTAAGCATCTTAATATGCTAATCTTCTTTCATGTTCTAAAAAATCACTCTTCAATTTTAATTAATAAATCTATCCTATTTATTATTATCAATTACCATCTTTGCGTCTTTATTTTATTATTCTATATTATCACTCAAAATCCTATTCTATTTCGTCTTTATATCATCTATCTCATGTAACAATTATTCACAATATGCTACCTAATCATCTAATTCCTATTATTTCCTTTCCAATTCTCCTTATTTCACTGCTAAATCAAATTAAGACTTTTGTAAATGATTTGTTAAATCATCCACTTAATTTTATAAACCTTTTAATTCATCCATCAATTCTGCTACACTGTTCTTACCTACACTTCTTAAATTCTCTATTATCTCTTCTGCATCTACTACTCGTTACTTATAATAATTCAAATCATGTTCCATCACTTTACAATGATCTATCAATTTAACATGACTTTTTTCTAAACCACCAAAATTTGATGTCATCTTTCTTATAAAATCTTTTAATTGTTTATCAATATTCTTCTATTCAAAAAATTATTAAGTAACAACTATCTTTTCTATCTTCTAATATTTGTCTGATGCCATCTAATTCATTTAATTTACATAATCAGCATTTAATTGTCTTAATTTCTCATTCTCCTATCTCAATTACTTTATCTATGCCTCTTAAGCTAACAAATTTAACTCATATATCTACTCTTTAAAGTTTATGTGCATAATTTCACTTTTGTCTTTAAATATTCAACCTAAGATTCCATCTAATCAGGTAAAGCTGAAGATGTTTCACTTTCATCATTCTAATTTACCCTACTAAAAACAACGACATTATTATTCATTTTTTATTATTATATAATCTTTTTTTAACTTAATTTATTCACATACATCCCCTCATATTTGATATTCGATATTCTCAGTATGAATTCCAAATATTCAGCTCTCTTTTAATAATAATAATTATATTAATACAAACAAAATCTTCTAAGCCTTACTATCTAGTTTAGGCAATAACTTCGTTTCTTAAAGAAAATAACTCAATCATATAGGAATGGCATAAAATTATGAAAACAACCCCATAAATTCTCGTAACCAACTTAATAATGTATAAAATATTTGTTAGATAGGTAGAATAACGAATACGAGATTTTCTTTCTCTATATTGATTTTTTAAGTTCATGATAATAATAAGTAATATATATAATAAGAATTAATATTCATCTAAATATATACTTATAATCTCATCTCACTTTTAAAATTTTAAATTATGTGAATTTTCTTATATTTTATCCGAATTAATATTCATTTTAATCATTCTTACCTTAGATGGATTAAATGGAATGAGAGACAAATTTATGAGATCGTTCTCTTAATATGGTATTTATTGAATAATAATATTAAGTAAATAATATAATTGTAAATTGGAGAAGTGTATTTATATAAAACTTAAGAATCTATTTGAGTTAAGAAAGATAAAATTCAAGAATTTATAAAGAACTTAGAAGTGAAAAGTTACATCAAATTTAGTAAAGTCTTTTAGTTAAAATTTATAAGAGTAAAAATTGAAATAATAAAAATGTAGAAATATTAACATTGAATTTAATTGGATTATTTATAGTAATTTAATGAACTTTTGTAGAACTTTAAGTTAATTAGTCGTGTTATGTACAATGTAAGAGAATGTTTGAATTTAATAGTTATCATTAAGTCAAGTCAAGTTGTGATGTTTTTAACTCTCTCACAACTCCAGATACAGGTTAAGCTTAAGTTTCATTAGATTTAAGTTAACAAGTAAAAAAGGACTATGGAGTTGGAGCTTGGACTAGATTTTAAAGTTAATTTGAAGATGTTGATACTTTAGATAAGAAGATTCTTGATTATCATATATTTTCAGAAGTAAACGTTGGATCATACCCTGTGATATATTATATAAAGTTGGATAAGGAAGTAGGCATCATATATTACAATATAATGATACAATAACAAAGCAATAGTTATTAATTGAGAGAATTAGAATTAAGACAAGAGTTGGTTGGATCAAAATGGGTGTTTTTCTACTTTTGTTTTTCCCAGATATAGAAAGCTTACAATATATTTTTATATATAGATTAGGACATAATAAATGTATAGATGATATCAGGAGGTGAATATTTGAGTGAAAATGAGTAAATAAAATAGTATATGGTGGGCGGTAATTTAAAGGTAATAATATAAAATGATCATTTAAGTTTCAAAATTAAATCTTCAATATATCTTTATCATTGGGTAGTTTTCCTGGTGAGATAAGTGATCTTGATTTTCGAATAGGTTAATCAAACTATTACCCTGACATTCCAACATTCTTGAGTAATATCTATGATACAGTTTGTAATATATATGTGTGTCCTCCTAAGACTTAAACTACAATTTTAGCAAGTCTTTATAATGGGGGTAATAGTATAATTAAGACTGTAACTTTTTACAATAAAAGGTTTATCTTATTTGGTTGGGTAAAATTAAATGAAATTACAGATGTACTATTGATTATTATTTTAATAAGATTCGATAGATTGAAACTGTGTTATTGAGAGCATCATTTAGAAAAGTATATTACGGTGATAAATATTAAGGAGAGAAGGCAATATATTGGAAATATTATTAAAGTACTTTACGTGATGAAGACAATGGTTTTGAAGTATCTACTTATCATAATACTCAAAAAACTCAGATATCTGCTTATTAAACTTTGGATAGTGATACTATTAAAAAGAAATCAGCATTTTACAAAAATGCTATAACTTATTGGCATTGGTTTGTATATTAAGAAGGGTTGCCAAATAAGAAGATAGAATTAGATATTTATTTTGGTTTTTCTAAAGAAACTTAAAGTTTTGAGATGACTTAAGATCATTATGATAAAGTGACATATTATTTCAGTATAGGTGGAGATAGATTCAATAAAGGTTTTAATGGAGAGATAAGAAATCTAACTTTTTCATATTGTTAATTGACAGATGCCAAACCTAAAAGATGTAAATATATTTATAAATTAAAAGATTGTCATTATAGTTGTAATACTTGTTTTGGACCAGCTGAAAATAATTGTATTGATTGTGTACCAGAAGTTGAATCAAAAAGATATTTAGATGGGACATATTGTCTTTGTATAGCAACATACATGGATGTTGGTCAACCATCTTGTTAAAGTATAAAATTAATTAAAATTCTATAGCTAAATATTAAGTATTAGGTGGAATAAATATTTAAGAAGCTTTAATCATGGACACATCAGGATGTTAAAGAAATTAATTTTTGGTAAAAATGAAAGATAATACTTATTGTTTAAATTGTCCTGGAGCAATTACACCATATGGATTATATTGTATAGATTGCATATACAATCCAGAAACATGGTATTTACATCCAATATGTAAAACAGATTATTTAATGCCATTAACTGATTCAACTGATTATGTCTTTATGAGAAGAGATAGAAAATTAAAAGATTATGAATACTTTCTAATCAATTAAAATAATGTTTAAGAATAACCACTCTTAGAACCTTGTGTTGGATGTTTTGGATTAACTAATAGTACTATTAATTTCATTCAAAAATATACTATGAATATAATCTAAAAAATACTATGTAAGAATTGTTATACATCAATCAATGGAGAATGTATTAATTTAAATCTTAATTGTGATGAATGTGATGATAATCAATTATGTTAGAAATGTGAATAGAATTATACATTATCTTAATCTTAATGTATTAAATGTCCATTAGCCTGTCCAAATTGTAAATATAATTCTACTGGATTCTATTGCAAAAGTTGTATTGAAGGATATTATTTCAATTCAACTTTAGAACAATGTTAATAATGTGGTTAATTTTGTAAAATATGTTATCATTCAAAAATTAACAATTTACTCTAATGTGTTTAATGCATTCATAATGAAGATTACTTTCTAGCAGCTGAATTGACATAATGTCTCCCTAAAACTATGGCTCATTGTTCAATCTAAACCTAAGAATTTTCTTTTAATTATTTAAATGAAACATCAATTAATCAACTCTATTAATTAAGCCTTGATTTAAGGGTCTTATATATTACATATCCTACTATGGAATTATGTTTAAAATGTGATCCCCATTATATTAATGTCATGAAAATTAAACATCTTTACGGATGTTATTCTGTTAATGATGTTTAGACTATCACAAATAAAGTCTTACCATAAGCTTTAAAAGATAAAGTTCTCAATGATCCCAATTTCTAATTAGGATATCATGAATTAGAAAGATTGGATGGATCAGAAAATTACTATATATTATTTGGAGATCCAGTTGTTATAGATAATATTAAATATAATCCTATCGTTTTATAATAAATAGAACCAAATCAAAAAATATGCTAAGAAAAATAATGTTAGTATTGCATCCAAAATTATGTTTATACTCAAGAATATTGTATTAAATGTTTCAAACCTTATTATGCTCATAAACTTTCAGGAAACTGTATCTAATGTCCATCCTCTTGTTTAGAATGTGAATTAATTCATAAAGATTTTAAAGATGGATGGAAATCTGATCTATAACCTGGCTATTAAATTAGAAGTAAATAATAAGTTCATCACTTTAATACACATGCCCTCTCCACTTCTATAGATGATTATGAAATTAACTGTCTTCTTTGTGCTGATAATGGATTTTTACATAATGGCAAATGCTATCCTAAATGTCCTTGTAAAGAATGTATTATTGAAGATGATGAAATTAAATGTATCACTTGCGAAAATTCAATTAAAACTGTTGTAAATGGTCAATGTACTGAATGTCCTCAATTTTGTGAATTATGTAGAGAATTTACATCTGAAGAAATTACTCAAATAAATCCATACTTCAATCAAGATATTCCTGCAAATAGAAAATATGCTAAATAATGCTTAAAAAGAGTTATTGATGATCCTCCTTAAGGAATCTTATATAATGATCCTACTATAGGTCAAGAAATTAATTGCAAAAATCCTTAACAAAAAGATTGCTACTTTTATGTTGAATTTCAATAAACTATCTATTGTGAAATTAATAAATATTAAGAAAATCTTGATCTAGAAATTGATGATAATTCTAAAACTTTCTATAAAAAATATAATCTACTATTAGATCATCTATTCTCAACAGACAATTCTACTCATTTCAACCTAGAAACTGACTTCTTATATAATGAACTAAATTACAAAAGTGTTAAATTGGTTAGATATATTGTTAATATATTACCAAATACTGGTAATTGTAAAATTAATAAAAATACATTCATTTTATCCAATATTCGATCTAACGTATTTACAGTAAAAAACTTAGAATTAGTAATCTAATCTCAAATTAATATGCCCATTCAAGTTGAAGGAAATATTTCATTTTATGAGTTCTCATCAGTTACTCTGAAAAATGTCTATTTACTTCCAATAAGTGACAAAATCTAATTCAATATTAATAGTTTATACGGAGTCTCATTTCTAATTGAACAATTTAAAATTAAGAATGCTGTAAACCTTCAATTTTAAATCAAAATTTAAAATCCAACCATAATTCAAATTAAGAATATAGAAATATCAGATTCAAAATTAATTAATATCAATGGCATTATCACCTATTATTTCACATAAAAATTGGAAAATGAACTAGACTATTCTATTGACACAATTTTAATCAAGAATTGTTAAATAATTAATTCAAACTTATTTGTTTAGCTCTTGGATGATGAATATGGAAATCAAAAGTTAATAGCAAATAATTTTATTTCCTAAAAAAACACACTTAAGGATTCAGTTATTTTCATTACTCAATTCCTTAATCAAATCAGAGAATCTAAGTTTGTTATATAGTCTTTTTTATCTGAAGGGGAATCACTAACTAATACTTCCTTATTCACTTTACATGGTGCACTAAGTGTTATTTTAACAGATATTACTGTTTCAAATGGAAATTTCAACTCAAATGTTAAACTATTTTAACTTCCTTTGTTCACAATCAACAACATGATAATCATAGGCAATAATTTTAACAGCGATAACAATAGAGTAATTACAAATATTGTTGATGCCCTTTATCAAGATGATATTTCAACTAACTTTCTCTCTTTTAATAAAATTCAATTCAAAAACAATTATTACCGAAGTAGTAAAGTATTTATAGAATTGGTTTAAAGTCAAAATTTTAAGACATTAGAAATATTAATCGATGGATTATCTTTAGAGTCAAATTAGTTTACATTAAAAAATTACTCAAATTAAATGACATCTATGAATTCATCAATATATTTTGATCTAACTTAGATTACAATCTTAAACATAAATATAATAAGAGCATTCAATTTGCCTGAGATATCAATTAATAATGCAGATAAAATAGAGCTGAATAATTTAAAAGCCTCTTTGAATGATGAATTTAAATTAATGGTTATTCATTAATAGGTTTCTTGTTTGTAGAAGAATCTATAAATAGGTTATGGTAGTATGTTGTAGATCTTTAATAGTAGAATTATTAATTTTAAAAATATAGAAATATTCGGATTGATAGTAATAAACCTACCTATAATTACTATAAAATCAATAGATGGATCTAATTTTAGATAAGCTGAGACGATATAAATAAAAAAAATGTAATTCACAAATAATACTCTGATTCTATCTAAACTTGCTGAATAGCCTTCAATTTTAAGTATAATATCAGAGTAGAAGTAAGCTATAGAATTGATTGATATTAATTCTTTTAATAATCATCATCACAGTTATTAAGAAGACTTGTTATTTAGATAATCTTCTACTATTTTAATAGAAAACCCAAACTCAGATATAACTTTAAGTGAATCGTATTTCTCTAATAACATTATTACAAATAATTAAGGATCTAATTTGATCTTAATTGGTAATAAACTTGAGATACGAAATTGTATTTTTTTAAAATAAAATGATATATAATTTGAATATTTAAAGACTCGTTTAATTTGGGGTTATGGATAGGATGAAGAACCTTATTTTGAGAATTTGTATTCGTTACTTTCTATAAAATCAAAGGGAGGAAATGGATATTTTTCAGCAAATTAGATTTCATTTTAAAATATTTCAAGTTAAGATTCATTAGGCCTATAAGGAGGAGCATTTTATTTTGGAACTTAATCTAGTGGAATAATATAAATTTCAAATTGCTCTTTTAATTATAGTTAAGCTAATTTGTTGATGAAAGAAAAATCATAAGGAGGAACTCTTTTTATTGATGCTTCCTAGTCAGATTTATTTTTATCAATTATGAACAATAGTTTTTCTAATAGTTTTAGTAGAAATGAAGGAGGTACAATTTTTATTGAGCCTTCAAGAAATAATAATACAATTATAATGTAAAAGAATGAAGTTGAGAATGTTTATTCATTTAAAAATGCATTCCTCAAGATTCTTGTTACATTCAGTAGTAAATAATTGATTTTATAGACATAAATATCTGATTTATCAATTAAAAATACATACAATGGGTATCTCAATTATTTAGGGAGAATATAAAATTTAAATGATTAAGAAATATAGTTTTAATCTAATAATTTTTTAATTTCAATAGATCGAAGTAATCTTACTATTAAAGATTGTAATATCATAAATATATTTGAATATGGAGCATTAGAGATATTAGATTCTAATTATATAAAATTAGATAATTTAGTGACAGAAAACTTTACAATTGTAAGTGGAAGTATCCTAAAATTGAATTTGAATAAAAGTACATAAATAATAATTATTAATAGAATATCTGACATCTATTTAACTTATCAATGTATAATTAAAATATATGTTTGAAGTGATAGGAGATGTATCATTACCAGATAATCTAATTCTTCGACTTCCAGAACTATTCTATAAATGTGAGTAATCTTATGAGCATCCAAAAACATTATAAAAATTATATAATGAAGAATAGTAAAATATTGTAAGTTTACACAATTTTTATTCAATAATTAAGAATAGGACAAATCCTAGTTTTATTTTTGAAATTGATTATGTTTCTGAAAATCATTATATTTTGATAGAAAGTTTGAACATTTAAAAGATAAATTGTTCTAATTGTTAAAATGGGTTATTAAAATTTACAAATATAGATGAAGTAGTAAATAAAAATGTAATTTATTTAAGAGGATTAAATATGGAAGATAATATATGTGGAATAATTAGTTGTTTTGTACTTAGTGCTTAATCAACAAATTAAATTAGGTTATTTTGGAATTAAAAATTAAAGAGAATTCTTGATGAAGTAAGTTAAGAATTAGATTAAAAATTATCTACAATAAAGATAAAAAAAAGTACATTTAGAAATAATAAAGCAACATTTGGTGGATCAATATTAATATCAGGTTTAAGTTTAATAGTAGCAAGTTGTTCTTTTTCAAATAATGTAGGATATTAGGTAGGAGGTGCAATATATTTTGATTATTAATAAGGAAGATAATTAATAGTATATGATTCAATATTTGCAAATAATTAAGCAAAGGTTGGAGGTGGATTATTTTTGAGTGGTTATCAATTAAACTCTCCTTCAAAAATGAATAATATATTTTAAGGAAATCAAGCATTATATTATGGTAATAATGTAGCAGATTAACCTACATAATTGACATTAAAGATAGGAAATTAATTAATGAAGAAAGAACCCTTAATAGATAATTCAACAAATAAGACAGATATAATCGTAATAAATAAATACAAGATAGGAAATAAAGAACATGATTTTATTATGTTGCCCAGTGGATAGACAATTGGAGAATATTAAATTTTTGATGAATAGATTTAAAGTTATGTTTCATACAATCTTACTTTTAGAATAATAGCTCTTAATGATGAAAATAATCAAATCAAAGCTTTAGATGGTAGTAAATGCTCTATTTAAAGTAGATAAATAATTAATTAATAAGAAGGAGAATTCTATTCTAATTTTACTAGTTATTCAGAAGTATATTATAATACAACAAGTTAAGATTATAATCTAGATAATATGATAATATATTTTGATCCTGATTATTCTTCATAAGGTTATTTATAACTTGAAATAATTTGTAATTCAATAAAGATACCGTAATTTTAAGAGATTTCTCCTTATTAGTTATTAGATTATTTTACTAATTATAGATTGAGGATTGATTTATAAACATTTCCTTGTTAAAGAGGTGAATATAAAACTAAATAAGGAACATGCAAATTATGTGATGCTAATTCAGATTAATATAATGTAAAAGCAGGTGATTAATGTTAAATAAAAGATCCGATAAAAATGTAGAAAGTTTCATCAGCAAGAGTTATGTTAAGGCCAGAATATTGGAGACCATTTGAAAGTAGTAACAAAATTGAATATTGTTTAAATCTTCCAGAGAATTGTATTGGAGGATGGAATCCAGGTAATGATTTATGTTCTGAAGCACATATTGGAGCTTTATGTGAATAATGTGATATGTATAATATTAGAGGTTAAGGTTCATATTCAGTTAGTACACCTTATAAATGTGGAAGTTGTAATGATATTGGTGATAATACTTTAAAAGTTATTCTAGTTAGTATTTGGACTATGATATCTATATTTTTATCTGTTAAAGGTACCGTGGAAACAGTTGAAAAAATGGTTACTTAAAATAAATTATCACATTTTAAAATATTTGCTTAAGATCCAAAAGCAGGATATGGCAGTGTATTAATAAAAGTGTTAACAAACTATTTATAAATTATTGGAGCTGTGGCTACATTTTAACTTAAAATTCCTAGTGGAGTTCAATCTTCCATCAGATCAGTAGGTAATCCAACAGAAGCTATGAGTTTTTCATTAGATTGCTTTTTAGTTAATCTTATTGATATAGATATCATTTATTTTAGAATGATATGGGCATTAATTATGCCCTTAATATACATTCTATCTTTTATTGTTATTTATATCATTGCCATCATATTAAATTTAACTAAACCCAATAAAAGTGCTCTCACTACAACTGCAATCTACTTATTTACTTATTTATAACCTACTTTAATTGGAGGATTTATCTCTTTATTATCCTTTAGATATATTTCTAATTATTATTGGATTTAAGGAAATGTATCATATCAATATGATACATAAACTCATTTAAATTGGATCTTAACATTTATATTACCTTCCACTCTTGCTCTTGCCTTTATTATACCTGCTTTCATGTTTATTAGTTTGTATTAATAAAGATTTCTCTTAGAAACAGAAAATACAAGAAAAAATTGGGGATATCTATATAATGAATATTCATCTAATGCATATTTCTGGGAAATTATCAAAATCCTATAAAAAGGATTCATTATTATTTTCTTAACCTTCTATGAAGATCTTATCATTATTAAAGGAGCTTTAGTTTTCATTATTGTTTTTATATATTAACTATTAACTCGAACTTTTAAACCATATAAATTATAATTCTTAAATTTGATTGATGAATTTAGTACACTCATTTGTGGAATATCTATTGTTCTAGGAATTACCATTTATTAATCTAATCTCTCTGATAATTAGGAAATCATATGGCCATTTTATATACTTTTAATCATATTTAATTCTATCTTTATTTTAGTTATTGTTTGGGAAATTATATTAGCATAACTTGAAGATTAATAAGAAAATCTAGATAAAGTTAGAGATTTACTTAATAAAAAATATCCTCACCTCAAAGAATCAAATTGGTTCTTCAAAAAACTTTTAACTAATCGAGGACAATAATAAAAAAGAGTTAAAAGAAGATTTTAAATGATAAGAAGATATCTCAAATAAATAGTCAGAAATAATCCAGGAATCTACTAAATGCCTACTCCTGCTCATTCATTCCCTGATAAACCTGTAATGTTTTAAAATCAAGAAAAATAAAATCTATTATAAGTTCATCAATAAAGTAGTAAAGAAAATACCTAAATGATTTAAAAAAAAGGAACTAAAGTATATCCTCTTGATTAAGATTAAAGAACCTTTGAAAGTGTAAGATATGATGATAAACGTTAATCCCCTTGAAATTTAAATTTATACATAAATTATATCAAAAATTTATATTCTTTTTTTTATAACTGATATAATTTATCTTAAATCAATTAGGAGACTCTTTTTTACTTTTTTATTAGATCTAAAGTTTACATTGTTTTTTTATATTTTAAATTTAAATATTTTTAATTCATTAAAAGGAGCAAAATTTGTACAGAAAACGATATCTTCAATGAATACTGCTTTATTTATTTATAATTTAAATTTAAATTCAATAAAAATTACAATTAAAATCAAAATATCTATATAATTTGAAAAACCATAATCAATTTAAAATTTTTATGATTAAGGTATAATAATTTTACAATAATTGACATATTTGACTAAGAAAATATATTATAAATTTTGAAAAAATGACAAATAATTAATTCTCCATTTTTGAACTTCAAAAAACCGTTTAAAAATCAAAAGAATTGATTTTATGAATTAAAATAATAATCAATTTCTAATGATTGTCAAAGAGATGTTAAAAAAAGTAAAAATCCATGAACATAAATAATATATAAAATTATTTAATGAGAATACAAAAAAAAAATTCTGATTAAAAAAATAAGAGCTAAAATTGGATAGATATTTTTGTTAAAAATTTAGAATTATTAGAAATAATAATTAATGAATACAATTTCCAATAGCATAGCAGTATGATACTTCTAAAAGAATCAATATAAAAAATTATTTTAATTGAAAAATTTAGATTAGGTGCAAAGGTTTTTAAATAATTTTTTAATTTAATTTTAAAAAGATCGAAATAAAGTATCAAAGTCAAGGAGATAGAATATGGAAAAAAGTGAATATTAAAGTATAATTTGAAAGATTAGATAAAAAAAATTTCACCCAAATATTAACTCGTCATGTAATTATAAAAACGAAATCTCTAATGGTATTATAATTTATTTGTATGTATTATTTAATTATTTTGATATTATTAAAGTACTCATTTATTAGATAAATATTATGTTTATATCATTCAAACACTATAAGTTTACGATGATTATCGACTCTTTTTAAAATTTCATCAATAATTTCTTAAGATTTATTCATATCACTTAAAATACATTTAAGATGATGTAAAAATCTGTCAAATTATTTATTAGTGATGTTCAAATTCTTATGAACCTCAATTAAATCTCTTTTAGTTGATATTCAAAATTACTTTCCAGTGTATTTTGTGTGAGGACAGCCAAACATTTAAGCAAAGAAAGTTTTTTATTAAAGTCTCACTCTAGTCATATCAGCTTTTAAAAACTTTCCTCTTAATGTTTGATCAAACAAGACCTTATAATAAAACTAATCTATGAGATCTGAAATTTAGCCATCTCCTCCGAAGGAATCAAATACATTTTAGTCCATTTTTATAAAGAAAAAATTTATATATTAGACTTCTCAAATCTTAACTTATAACTATCATTTTCCCTTTTTAACTTTATAATAATTTGGGCAATTCTTCTTTACATACTCTTCTTCATTAAATTCTCTGCAAGATGATTCAATTTCTAGATATTACTCTTGAAGATTCTTAACATTTTAAGTCATTTAATTGTATTTTTCTTCCAACTAAAGTATTTCACTCTAAGAATAGATGAATGAGGATTACATGTAAACTATTAATATTTTATTAATGTTCTTCTCTAATTTATTCTAAATGTCTTAATTTAATTTGATTAGAACAGATTGATTCATCATAAAGTTCTAAAAATTCTTTTTTGCTTTTTTATTTTCCTTTAACACTTCCCTTTTTCATATGTTAAGGTAATGCACTAATTAGTTAATTTAATTTTTCTCTAATTTAAATGTTCTCTTAAGCTAAGATAGTATTTTCATCTTTCAATTTTTAATAAATATGTTCACTCTTTTAAGATTTTTATATTTTGACTGAAATGATATTCATATTATTTTATAACACTTGTATTCTTTGAGCCTATATATAGATAATATTTTACTCTTTTTTATAATTCTTCCCAATGTTTTTAAATGATTTTTTCAAGTTCATTTTATCTTTTATCTCCCATAGCATTAGCTTAGAGTTAATTTCTAACTTCAGATTAAACAGCTTTAACTTTTTCACTATCTTATAAATACTTTTCATTTTGCTTAATATAAGAAAAGCCATTATACTTCCTATTATTATTTTTCTACTTGAATTTTAATTTGTTCAGCTCTTTATATTTTATTTTGATAATCATCAATTTTTAATGTAGTTTCTTCAATTCTTTATTATAAATCAGCTTCTGATTCTTTTGATTATTCTATACTACTTCTCATTTATATAATTTCATTTTAAATACCTTCAAGATGCATATACTAAATTTAAATAAAATATATATACTAATTGACTTTTCAAATTATTTTCTTCTTTCATTTACATATCCGATTCTTTTTTTTCTTCCAATTTTTATCTACACTTTTCTTCAATTTCTGAGAAAGCTGCTTCATCTTCAGAAGATTCTCCTGAATGCATTTCTAATTAATCCTACTCTTCTTAAATTAATTGTTTTAAATGTTCATTCTCATCTTAAACAGTCTCTCTCTTTTCTTATAGACTAGAAATGTTCTTAAATAATTCACTAAATTTAGAAGTTAAACTCTCTAACAGAACCTCATCCATTTTTAATAACTAATTCTTTTTAATTATAATATAAATTTAATATAGATTAACTTATTAGTTTTGATTATTATTTTTTGAATCTTAATATAATAAGTAATGATATGATTTAAAAATAGATGTAAGGTATTTTTATTCAATTTTATTCTTTTCCAGATTATTAATTTTAATTATCATTATCATTATCAATTTCATGATCATTGTCATTTTCTTCATCTCTTGAATCACTATTTTATTGAGGTTCACTATCTTCTACAATTACTTTATTAAAGATCTATCTTCCATCAACTTCTTCATCCTCTTTTCTTAATTATTCATTATTAGGTGATGTAGGTTTATTAGTAAAAATACTCTATAGTTGAGTAACTTATGGACCTGAAGTATTATGATTCTTTAGAGCTTATAATGGTAAAGGTTTTGGGAAGAAGTTTTATTAAGGAAGTTTATTATCTATTTTATTTGATAGTGAGGATTTTAAATCGAAACGTTTAGATGTGGATAATAATTATCCATATCCAGCACTTTCATTCATTTTTGGGAGTTATTACTATTATTAAGCTTTCATTTTTTCTTTGTCTTTTTTCATCTTGATCCAATCATAAGTAGAAATACCTTTATATCTTTATTAGACTGATTATAGTTACTTAAAGAAAAGGTGCATTCCCAATAAATAAGAAAGAACAAAAAGGATTGGAGGGTCAAGAATTATACTTATTAAAGCAAGAATTTAGAATGCATAATTTAGTAAAAGGAGGATGTCTTAAATAATTCTAAGGCATTTGAATATTACAAGCAGAATCACTAAAATAAAAAAGTAATTGTAGTTCTTTATGCCAATACAATTATTTAACCATATACAATGATGATCAAATACTTCAACACACCTTATTATTTAATATGTTACTTATTACAACTAAAACAATGTTTAGACTTTTCCATTACATGTGCCTGACATACTAAACAATATGTCTTAAGATCTGTCTTAAATTCTAATCTAAAAATGAAAAATAAAAATTCACCCTTTCTATTTAAAGTTTTACTCTTTCAAAACTACACTATCAGTAGGATCAATCAAAGTTGCTCTTAAACAAGAATAAATTATCCCCATTGTTAGAATTGTTAACACAATTAACATAAACTCCTAAATTCCTTATTTATCATTCAAAACCTTCACTCCTTCATCCATTAAAAATGCAATTATAAATGATATTATCATATCGAAAACAGTGTATATCCAACTCACTGCTTAATATAGCTATATATCGCTACACCCATGGCGACGAATTGGTCTTAATCGTTCCTTTTATATATCTGCATCCATAATATTGATTATAAAGTTTTTTTGAGATATATATTTTATGTACACAATCACAATCATTTTTCTTTGAATACAAATTATAATAAATTATTTAGTTCTTTGATTTAAGTAAAATCAACTATATGAACAAATATTCGATTTCCATCATAGAGAGTTTATATCATCTTCTGAATTTCCTTTTCTTTTCCAGTTATTTTCATATCCAATCTATCATTACCTATTAAATGAATAGGAACTTTTCCTGTCATTTTATTCTCATTACATATCTTCTAAACTTATACAATTCTTTTTTTAAACAACGAAACATCGAATTATTCAAATATTATCATTATACAGTTAAAAGAATCATTTATTCTATTATCCAGATCCAATAATCCTCCCTTACTTGAATCGAATTCCTTACACAATTAACCAAACATCTTACCCAAAATTGAATTTTTTATTGTTAATATAACATACATTTTATATCTAAACCAATAGTTTAAGGTAAATTACTAACCATTGGAGTTTAATTAATTAGACTACTTATAAATGCAGTTTTTCCAACTGCTATATTCATACCCAATACAGCTATCTTATAAAATGAACCTAATTTGATCGAATCTTACGAAGAGACCGATCTACAATTTGTGAGATTTTCATTTGTAGATTTAACATCTATTGATTTTTAGTAACGGAGTGAGATGTTTTTCTAAGTGATTCCTTAAGTTGCACCCATTTATATTAATAATAAATGCAATAACAAAAAAACAAAAAAAAGAAATTTTAAAAGCACCAAAGATCTGGTTAATAACATGCATAATCAGATATTCTATATAGTGGATTTCTAATTACATGTGATAAGAATAGAGAAAGAGAATCAGTGAAAGAAGGCTATTAAATCATTGAATAATATGTAGAATAAATTTATCCTTAAGAATCATAAAAATATGAAAAAATGCTTGAATAAAATGCAAATAACAAAGGAATGATCAAAATGCTATATAATTTTGAAACTAAAGTAAAATGCGTGATTTTCATCAGAATTAATAGTTAAGAATTTCCATCAATAGATGTTGATGAATTAAGTCGAATTATCTTAAGTGATGTTTATGAAAAGTCTTAACAAGTTGCTCGTTATATCTATAGATTGATTCCCATTTAATATGTATTTCGAGCAACTTTAGATGAATTTAAAAAATACGCTACTCTACTTATCAATAAGTATTTCCAATTAGATAGACCACATCCATGGTTTTTGATATTTAAAACTAGATACACTGATAAAATCAATAAATAATAGGTATTATCAATCTTGTAAGGTTTAATCGAACCATTACACTATCAAGATTGGTAAGAACCTGAATTTGTTTTCTTTGTAGAAGTGAACGGTGCCATTATGTACATAAATATTTTACCTAAATATCATGAATTTAGAGAATACTCAATTAGAAAAGGTGGATAACCTATCTTAGATACTATTCCTGAAAGAAAAACTAATTTTGCAGACAAAATAGTCAAAAAAGTCAAATGTTAAAAAGATGAAGAAGTCTAAAATGTTATAAGTATTTAGGATCCAAATTCAGACTTTTAAAAAAAAGAATTTTTCGTAGAAGCAGACGTAGATTTGTTGTGATCTATATTGAACTGTGTAAAATATAAATAATATAATTTAATTCATCTTAAATCTATTGTAAATCTTCTATTCTTAAGACTGTCTATAACTATTCTCCTTTTTAAAAATAATTTCTTTATTATTATCGTAAAAGTAATCCTATTTAAATTTATTTCTAATAGATGTAAATATGTAAGTAAAATATATGGTACTTTCTTTTTAATAATTCTAAATTGCTTAATATGTTATTAATTAGATTCTAAATGCTCTCTGTGAATGACAATAATGGATAAGTATATTACCATTATAATTTTTTACTACCAACTGAATAGATGAAATAAATAATTTATATATTTTTAGAATATTATTATTATGTACAATTAACATTCACTATATAATCATTATATTTTATCAATAGAAAGTTGTTATAAGTAATACTCTCTTTTCCAAAGGTTTTATATTAAAATCAATAAATATATCATAATTTTGATATTCTAACTTTGAATTGATTAATAATAATTATATTTGATAATGTCCAATAAATAATTTGAAATTCAAATTTTTTCTTAATAAAATATGAAATCAATTAAGCAAAGGTTAACTCCAACTAAACTTAAGTTAAAGGATGATACAAATCTTAGTAGAGTATCATGTGTCAATCATTTAAATAAAACTGCAAAGTATTTCGTATCAAAAGATAACTCTGTATTTTTATGTTCAAAATGTGCAGTTCAAATGATGGGTAAAGGACATAAAGTTGAAGAAATGCCTGGTCTTGAAGAAGAATATAGAAGAAAACAAATTAATCTATTTATCAATTAGGTCAATAATAACATTCCTCATATTGATAAAATGATGAATGCTTTAATAACTAAAAGAGATGATATTTAAAAATATTATGAATAATAAAAAGAAAAGATTGAAAAGTTTCATATTCAAATCTATTAGATTTTAGAAGAAGAAAAAGTGAAAAAATTAGAATAATTGCATACCAATTTTAAGAATGTTTCAAAATAATATGATGAAAGCATTTAAAGTTTATAATAATCTAAATCAGAAACTATATGCATGAAGAGAGATATAGAATATAATTTAAATTCAATTATCAAATAAATTTAAAATGAACCTTTTAATGAAATCATGGCAAGTTATTAAAAAAATCTATAAATCTTTACTGGCAAAACAGAATTTATTGCTAAAACTCCAATTGAAGTCTTAAAAGTTACTTTAAATGAACCAATCAATTTAACTCATCTTATGTCTATACAATAATTGAAAACATGTTTAATCAAGAAAAGCCTTCAAGATCAGAAACAAGAACAAAATGATAGTGTTTATGAAAGTTTGGAAAAAAAAGAATAATTTACATAACCTAAAGTTAGTAGAATGGCATTATCCTCTGTTAAAACACCTAAATAAGATTATAGTATTAAAAATGTTGCCTCATTTGAAATTACAAGTGAAGAATGTTATGATGAAGGACATTCTTAAATGATTGAAAGAGATGATATTGAAAATTCATATTAAATGATGTTATTCGATGCAAATTCTGATTAAGAAGAAAAAAAACCAGAATTAGATATATTAGGATCATTTGGACCTGTTTAAATTAATACAAACAATAATAATAATAATAATAATAATAATAATAATAATAATAATAATAATAATAATAATATTTTATAACCAAATAATAATAAATTGTTAGTTTCAAAAATTATAGAAAGAAATAATCAAAAAAATGATAGAAATTTAGAAAAAAATTATATGTTTAAAGCAACAAATACATCCCTAAAGCTTGTATGATATTTATATTAATACTAATCCATTTATTATTTTAATTTTCATTCTTAAATTTCTATATCTAATAATCTTAATCACTAGAAAATTTAATAATTTTCAAATATCAACTATTTTTATCAAAGTTAAAATGCTTCTTTGATAAAAGTATAAATCATAATCAAATAAAATAGTAACATAATATAATGCTTCTTTAATGATTATGTTGAAATCAAATGGAAAATCAATAAAGGCAAAATCTGAAAGTAATGTTTAGAAGATTGAATTAGCATGAATTGATATGATGAAAGACCATAAAAAAAATATTTGAATAAATAGAAATAATATCAAGTAGATAATTATAAAATGAAATTCAAACCTGAGGTTCCTATTAATCCCATGGTACTAATACAAATTTATAAGAGTAATTAATACGTCATGGCAATACCCATGACTGTATATGGTTAAGATTTCTCTTGATGACCTAAATCATCATACTAAAAGATATTGAATAATGTTTTACCACATTTTGTATGGAATGAATGCAAAATAAGGAATAATTAAGAAATTAATCATCTTATACTACACTGTTAACAGCAGCAGTATCTAGAATCTTTTAAAAAGCCTAATATTATGAGAATAAAATTACACTAAATACGGGATCTTCAGGTTAGAAGGTGTAATCTAAAGATTTAAATATTTAATATGATAATTATTAAATTAGGAATAGATTTTTACGTAATAATCCTCTATGAATACACCAATGAGCATTAATTCTAGCACCTTGTAATACAAGTGCAATAGATATTGATGCAATTACAACAAAATCAATTGTTTATTAGAGTATACTATTGATAGTTACAAATTCTAAATAAAAGAGGAATATCATTAGAACCATCATGATCGTATTAATAATCATTATAAAAGATAACATAAAGGATTGTCTCCTTGTATATTAAAGTCCATAATCTAAAATCATTTTTCTTAGATTGACCCAAGAGTAGAGTGATACACAACATAAAAGATTAAGAGTTGGAAACATTTTAGATTCTTAATAAACCTCAACTTTCTCAGCTGAAATTAGATGGGATAACTATGTCATTGCAAATACTTTTCTTCTTAAATCTCTATAAGTGATCATCATTAATACTGTAATCATGTAAAAATACATAAATTAAAAAACGCACATTTGCACTATTATTATGTAATCATTAAAAGATTAATTGTTGAAGTTCATAATGAATATATAGGCTACAATTCTCGTTAAGGCGACAAAAATTGAAAATTTATTTATGAATCTAAGATTGCATTTCTTATTGTATTCTTCTATTATTTCTTTGGCCATTGATATACAACTAGCTGCAATTTCTTCATAATTTTTGTGTCCTCCATTATCAAAATAACCAACTTAAATTCTTTCTTTAATTAATGGATTTGGTGCAACCATGAAATAAAGATGAAAAGAAGTTGGTTCAATTTAATGTCTTTTCATAGATTATTCAAATTCCCTAGTAATCATTGAAGGTATTTGTTATGCCCAATGATAAGGATTTATACTCTATTCACATAAATCTCCAATAACATTAAGGTCAAATCTTTCAATTAGATTCAACTTAGATGGATGAAAGAATGCATATTTGATAGCATAAGTTATATTTTCAGTTAGAAAGAGAGTAGAAAAGAATCCAATTTCATAATGCATGATCTGATTAATTCCATAATCTTGTATATAATAAAGAATAGAGAAGAAAAAAGTGTAATTAGTAATCCAACGGAAATAATTAAATGCTGTTCCTTTGGTACATCCATAAATTCTAAAATTACTCATGAAATGAATCCATTCTTTGTTAAATAATCCATAAACCAGTATTAATGGACCAAGAATCGAAAACATAATTCTTAGTAGTAAATACTTGATAAATACTTTGATTCTAAAATGAACTTCATGAGGTTATGTCTAAATTAAATTAATGTATATAATACTCTATATTTAATTGAAGTAGGATCAAAATCACTCATCCTAGATCTTCCTAAATCCTCTCTAAAAAAGATTGAAGATCCAAATTTAGATTTACACAAAGACTCTCTTTCACTTCTACCTGGAGTTATTCCTAAATTAGTTTCATGTTTATCTTCAAATTCAGATTAACTCATCTAAAGATCAAATAAAAGAATGGTTTTTACTTAATTTACAGAAACGATCTTATTTTAAATCACAGAAACCCATGATCTTTATGGAAACTTCACTTTCACTTAATTCTTTTCCACATCATCTAATTCATTAGCAATTTAATCATCTATCATTCTTATTTATTGTTGAACTAAATTATTATAAAATATATATATATATATGTATGGATATATAATTTAAAACTTCAAATTTCTCTTTATTTTAACAAACTATTAAAAACCTCAAATTGATAACTATTTTCAGATCCAATTATAAATTATACAATATTGTTTGATTCTATTTAATTTGATTCAATCTATTCAATAGATTTGAATATCTTTAATTAGAAAGTGTATAAGTTTTTACAATCCACACATTTACATCCAGAATTACAATATTTTCCATCTTAATGACAACTACAAAAATTATTTTAACATTTAGATTTTCCACAAGTACATCCTTTTAGATATCTTGATGTTCTTTATTTATTTCTTTTTTGTTTTATTAATCTCTTTTTTATTTTCTCTAATTTCTTATTCGTTTATTTGTTCTAACAATTTTGGCATCCACAATATTTACTACAAATCTTTCCCCTTGCAAAACATTCACAATAACTTTACTGACATTATGATTTACTACATTAACATTTTATCTATGATTATAAAGATTATTAATCAATATGTTCTATCTCAGAACATCTTAAATCCTCTTAAATATCTTCCATATCACTTTTCTACATTCTTTCGCCAGAAGATGAACATTATGTAGATAATTATACGGAATTATGAACACTTATCTATTCAAATTAATTATCAATTGATTTCAAACTATATTATTATTTTATTGTTTACCTATTCATATTATTCTTTTCATCCATCATTAATCCAAATGAAACTTAATTTGAATTATCTATTGCTTCACAATCTGATTCACTATAATATCTCATTAATGGATTCATTCTTTCTTTAATATTAATATTTCTCAAGTTTTTGTGGATCCAATCTCGTTTATATAGTCTCTAATTTAAGATCCCTGATCAAATTGTTATAAATCTATATATATGTTCTAATGATTGGCAATATAAATTTATATTATATATATATTAATATTAATATATTAATATATATATAATATAAATTAATATAAATTAATATAAATTATTTGAATGTATTAATCTAATTGATTATTTATTTTCTTATGTTTTTTAATGACAATACAAGTTAATAATAAATTGCTCTCACTCCTGATTCTAAATTTACAGAAAGAGTCAAAATTCCTTAAACTCAAACTAAATAATAGATAATTGAACATCATTAAAGTATTAATAAGTTACTTGATAAAATGAATGAAACTATTGGAAGAATATTTAAAACCAAAGAAGATGAATTGAGAGGCAATATTAAATAATAAATTGATGAAGCATAAGCATAAGTAATTTAATTGACTAATGAAACTACAGAAGATTAAGTACAAAGGAAATTAAAAGAAAAAAGATAAGAAATTGAAGAAGAAAGATAAAAAATATTATAATCATCTATGGAATTCTCTAATAAATGTATTGAATATAAAAACAGTCTTAGCAAAGTTATGACAACTACTAAAGATCTAATATCAGAAATATAATTTTTAGATACTTAATTAATGAGTGCAAAAATTACTAATTAATAACTTAAAAAGTAATTAGAATCCATCTAAACCAATACTGTTAATCAAGATTATTTTAGTCATGAATCCACTTTTAGATAACCAGAATTATAAGGAATGGATATAGAAGGAGTCAATGAATAATATTAAAAAGCTGAACAAGAATTACTTAAAACTAAAAAGATATATGAAAATATTGAATAAGTCAAATCTGATTCTGCTTTTGAAGAAAATTAAATCGAAAAAATATTTCTGGTATTCTTATCCAATTTACTCTATAGGAATGTGTCTAAAAAGTCAAATAACATAAACTCAATACTGAAATTTAAAAAGTCTAACAGCTTAGTAAAAATCCTAGACAATTACTTAAACCTATTTAATCGTTGAAACAATTTCATAAATAACAAGAAGTATTAAATCAATAAGATTTCATTTTCTCAGATATTGAATTCAATGACATTCATAAAAAAATGATTTTTGATGAATTCTTATCAAGAAATGAAATCAAAGCCTTGATTTATAATTTGCTATGATTATTGTTTTAAACCAAAAATACCAATTTTCAATCAATTAACACATCTTTGAAATTCTATATCATATACACATATAATCTCATCTTTTACTTTTTTTTTATTATTGCTTTTTTGCTGGCTACTTATTTTACAACTTATTAGTCAATTCTTCAAGTTTTAATTAAACTTATCTTTCAATTTCCTTTTTTTATTCTTGACGTAAGGTTTCCTCTATTCTTTTTAAATCCTACAATCGTTGCATTTCCAATCTGTGAAACTCTATTTATTATTAAGTAACAATTTATTTTTAACTAACCATTTATTATTATTCATCTTATTTTTTCTTTATTCCCTCATCCTTTTTTTCCTACTTATTTTTTTGTGCCTTTTCCTACTTTTTTTGTTTACTTGATTTATTCTTCTTTGTTTTTTCATTCTCTTTCTTCCCTTAAATCTCTTATTACTAATTTTGAGCTATTAATGTATTTTATGCTTCCTATTGTTATAACTAACTTTATTCTTGTGGTGTCTCATCTTCCCATTTTACTATACCAAAGCACTTTAAAAAAAGCATTATAAAATAATAGAAAATCTTTAGCAACACAAAGAGTCCGAATATAGCTTATATTGTTTATAACATTATTTTATTTAATCATTAAAACAAATATAATTTTTATATATCTTAAAATCAAATACAAATATACATGGAACAATAAACTATTCATAAAAACTCATTTCTTTCATAATATTCATTTATTTATACATTTCAAAAAATGCATTATAATTTAGATTCAATAATTTTATACATTAGATTATATAATATATAGCTACAAAACAGTTCCTAAATTAATTTATATCACTCAATAAATATATTTTAGATATCATTTATTTTAATCTCCAAAGATCTTTAAAGTTTCTTGATAATATAATTTTAATAACAACAAAAAGTATTTAATATATTTTTATAATTATTTTATAGTCTTATATCTAAGGTTCTAAGTAATAGAAATAGTTAATTAAAAATTCAAGAAGAAAATATATATATTAATAATGAAAAAAAGAAAGTGTTTCAAATAGTTTTGGACATATTTCATTATCTTTAATATTTATCTAAGAATAAAAATAGAATTCTAATTTAAATGAATTTTTATAAATGATATTTACTAATCATATTCATATACTCAAGTTTAAGTGATCATTTCTAAAAATTGGAGATCTAAATATAAATAGAAAGTATTAAAGAAATTATCTAATTACTCAAGAAAAAATAAGACTACTTCTTAATTGATTACATTTATCAAATCAACATTCGATTTTAATTGGATCAATTCCAAAGAAAAAAATATATTTTGTTTACCTCCAAGAGAAAATTAATCAGACAATCAATGAGTGTTTTTAGAAATATTTCAAATCATATTTAAATTTTTAGAAAGAGGAGATTTAATCTTATAATGATCTTTATCCAAAAAAGGTTGAGGTAATCTATTGATTTGATACAATTTACAATGTTATCATTATTTTAGTTATAAAAAATATCGTAAATGATTGAATAATATAATTTTGACATTTTTTTCTAACTTTGACCTAATCTCTATGATATTATATGATATATCTTAAATTAAATGTTTACCAAGAGGTATAAAATGTTCATTCTTCAATCATTTGNTCATCTTCCCATTTTACTATACCAAAGCACTTTAAAAAAAGCATTATAAAATAATAGAAAATCTTTAGCAACACAAAGAGTCCGAATATAGCTTATATTGTTTATAACATTATTTTATTTAATCATTAAAACAAATATAATTTTTATATATCTTAAAATCAAATACAAATATACATGGAACAATAAACTATTCATAAAAACTCATTTCTTTCATAATATTCATTTATTTATACATTTCAAAAAATGCATTATAATTTAGATTCAATAATTTTATACATTAGATTATATAATATATAGCTACAAAACAGTTCCTAAATTAATTTATATCACTCAATAAATATATTTTAGATATCATTTATTTTAATCTCCAAAGATCTTTAAAGTTTCTTGATAATATAATTTTAATAACAACAAAAAGTATTTAATATATTTTTATAATTATTTTATAGTCTTATATCTAAGGTTCTAAGTAATAGAAATAGTTAATTAAAAATTCAAGAAGAAAATATATATATTAATAATGAAAAAAAGAAAGTGTTTCAAATAGTTTTGGACATATTTCATTATCTTTAATATTTATCTAAGAATAAAAATAGAATTCTAATTTAAATGAATTTTTATAAATGATATTTACTAATCATATTCATATACTCAAGTTTAAGTGATCATTTCTAAAAATTGGAGATCTAAATATAAATAGAAAGTATTAAAGAAATTATCTAATTACTCAAGAAAAAATAAGACTACTTCTTAATTGATTACATTTATCAAATCAACATTCGATTTTAATTGGATCAATTCCAAAGAAAAAAATATATTTTGTTTACCTCCAAGAGAAAATTAATCAGACAATCAATGAGTGTTTTTAGAAATATTTCAAATCATATTTAAATTTTTAGAAAGAGGAGATTTAATCTTATAATGATCTTTATCCAAAAAAGGTTGAGGTAATCTATTGATTTGATACAATTTACAATGTTATCATTATTTTAGTTATAAAAAATATCGTAAATGATTGAATAATATAATTTTGACATTTTTTTCTAACTTTGACCTAATCTCTATGATATTATATGATATATCTTAAATTAAATGTTTACCAAGAGGTATAAAATGTTCATTCTTCAATCATTTGATAATGTAGATTTAATTAAAATATTCAAATCGATCATTATAAACAAAAATCTTTAATTTAAATTATTTTTTCTACTTTTATAAAAATAAATCTCAAAAAAAATATTTCTCATTTTTTTTTAATTCCTCAAATCTTAGATCCTAATTCTATTAGAGAAATAGTAATTCAATTGAGATTTCATTTTTAAATTTATTTTTGCATTCTAATTTAAATTTAAACATAATGACATTTTAGAATAGAAGATAGTATAACTAATATAACATTATAAAATTGACAAAAAATAAACAAAATCAATTAAATTGAAATATTTTAGAGTTGTTTATACTATTTTTTCTTGATTTATTAGCAAGCTATTTGGATGAATCTTAATATGAATATTTTTGAAATAAATGTTAATGTTCTTTAGTTAAATGTTAATGTAATTTTATAATTTAATTGTTTTCTTCATCTTCATAAATAATTTGTGATTTATCGAAATTATCTGAATTACTTGGAATAAAAGGAGCTTTTAATTTCTTCTTAATTAATGATTCAAATGGAAAATTTTTAAACCATTTATGTTATTTAGGATTCATCAATCTATTTTTTGGTTTTCTTTATAAAAGTTAATTGATAAAATCTATTGATTCATTTGACCATCCTTCATTAGAACTATGAATCGAAACTTATTTAGCTAGAATTTATTCTCTAATTTCTCTTCTATTTCCATAATATGGTCTTCTACCTGTCATAAATTCATAACAAATAACTCCCAAAGCAAAATAATCAACAGCTATTCCATGATCTTATCTAAAAATAACTTCAGGTGCCATATATCCAGGTGTTCCACTAGTTTCAAAATTTAAACCAGTGTTTTTAATGGCTATACCAAGATCAGTTATATGAACATATCCTTAATAATCTAAAATTAAATTTTCTGGTTTAATATCTCTATGTATTATATTATTATCATGTAAATACTCTAGACCAATTATAATACAAGCTGCAAAAAATTCTAATTTTGATATAATAATAAATTTAAAATACTTGTTTATTCTTCTGAAAATTTCCTCATTTTTCCTAAATGAAATCTTAGATCTCCTCCTCCTAAATAATCTAGAACTAAATAAAGATTCTAATTATCTTGAAATGCTGAAAAAACATTGATTAAGAAATTATGTCTTAATTCAGTTAAAAATTATAATTCGCTCAGTATACTATGTACACTTTATTTTAAAAGCACCAATGCTTTACTAATTTCTTTCATAGCATAAATTTATTATTTATAATTAACTTTCCATACTCTTCCAAATCCACCTACACCAACAACATATTAAAGTTGAAAATTATGTTTATTAAGTTAGCTATTTATTTCTACTGAATTGTCTTTTGAATATTTTCTTGTATCAGAATAGTTTTTTAACTATGCTTTTTGCTCAATTATTCTCTTAGGATTCATTATATTTATATTTCTAAAGACACAATTAAAGGAAATATCATTCTTATCTTGATTACCATTTTTATAAGGAGATGAGTATCGACGAATTGCTATTTTTAACTTTGTTTCTGTCATTGAATGACGCAAGCTAATTAATTTTAATTAATAAACAACATATTATAAATACATAATAATTAACTAATCTATCCTATATAATTTATTATTTTTTTAAATGGTACAACCTTATATATATTTAAAATGATTATTATATTTAAACATAAATTTAAAACAAAACTTAGAAAATAATAGGCAATCTTAATTAAATAAATAATTATGCTATAAAAATTCTTAACTCAAGTTTCATATTTCGATAGATTTGGTGCCGAAGTAAAGCTAAACTTTAGAAAAAGAGAGACACATTAATCACCTTTTGGAGGTTTCTGTACAATTTTACTTGTCTTAATCTTAACTATTATCTTTATACAAGGAGCAATAGGTCTAATAAAAAAATAAACATTCATTGTATGTTATTATTATATGAATTTAATAAGATCTCTTCTGATTAAGTACTTAATGTTGATCCTCCAAACACTTAACTCTAATTAAATGATTTTATGATAGCTTTCCAAGCAGAAAATCAAATTACAAATGGAACCAAACGACTTCTTAATTTCATTTTTACATCTCACTTGTAAATGATGGATGATAATGGTATTATGACTAAGACAGAAACATCAACACACAATTTAGAAAAATGTACTATTTCTCACTTTGTTGAGTTTGATGAAAAAAATACTTACAATGTATAAATTTCATTACATCATTAGAAATTACTTAAAGATCAATTAGAGAATTATTATTGTCTTCCTCTAAATTACAATCTTAGCATATAAGGGACATACAAATCCAATATATTTTAATATGGTAAAATATCGGTAATAATTTGTTCATCTGAAGAATGTTATACCCCTGCTGAAATCTAGTAATTCCAAGAATTGGGGTATTTTAATAACAGTTTCAAAATTAACACTTTGATGCTAAATCGAGTTCCTAATTTAAATTTGGAAAATAATTACATCTCTTATATATATTCTGATTATTACATTCAGGCCAAAATAGGATAAGAAACAAAGACTGATGTTTTTTTAGAATAGTAATCCCTCTCAATTGAAAAATCAGTCATTCCTGGTATTAAAGATTTGGAATAGCAATCGCTATTTTCAATTATGGATTATAAATTATAAGCATCTTCCGTTTTTACTTCAAACATAACGAAAGTAGCTTCTTTCTTTATAAGATTATCCTAATCAGAAACACATTATTATAAACTATATTATAGATTTGATGAATTGTTTTCATATGTAGGAGGAATTACTTAATTTCTTGCAACTGTTCTTGGATATTTTATCTTGAGATATAATTAAGCAGGATTGTAAATTAAATTAGCTAATTCTTTATATCAATTTGATATGCCTGAGAAAAAAAAAGGAGAAATGGTATTCTCATTTTAATCTTTAGTAAATAAAATCTTTGAATCTCTTAAATCTATTGAAGATATTGTATCTAAATTTAAATCTAGTGCTTAAAGAGTTATTACTATTACAAGATTAGCAGGTGCATTAAAATTTGCTAATCAATCTGTTTTACAAAATGATAAAATTGAAGATGAATTAGCAAATTCAGTTATGCTTAAATAAGAATTATAAAATGAACATTTAGAATCTGAAAAATGTGTTGATTATTCTCATGAAAGCAATCAAGCATTCTATTTAGAATAAGACAAAAAAAAATTCCTAAATCTTATTATATAATTAATTTTAGATAGTAAAAAAAAACTTTCTTTTGGAGTTCATTTTATTGCCAAATAACTCTCTGGTTCATTTAAAAAAAATACAACTATCAATTATTAATCTTAACTATTTGAAAAATCAAGAAAAATGATTTTAAGAGATATGGATATTTTGGTTATTATGAGAAAATTATAAGAAATTGAAAAAATCAAACACGTATTATTTAATAAAACTTAAAGAAAAGTATTTAATTATTTATAGAAACCTGTTGTTTGTGTTAAAGAAAAAATCAATCAAGGTAAATATGATCATAGTTTAATTCACACTGAACTTAAAAACAAAAGAGAAAATGCTCTAAGATTAACTCTGTCTTCTAAATCTTTACTTGGTCCAAGATAAAAATTTAACACTGAAAAAAAGTTAATAAAACTCTATGAAGCATATGAAAGTTTAGTATTTGCAGATGTATAAGATGAATCAGAAAAAATCATGAATTAACGTCTTTTAGAATTAGTAGAACCTACTATATAATACAGTTTCAATTCTCTTGTTGAAATTGAAAAACTGTCTAGATAATTAAGATATAATAAAAAAAGGAGAGTAGCTACTAATATTCTTAAAAATAAAACATTTAAACATTGTTCTTCAAATGATATTGAGGAAGCAGGTGAAAATATTTAAGATATTGATTGCATCACTCTAAATGGATAAAGAAAAGATGATTTATTTATCAGATCACCATAAAGTTTAGCTGAAAATAGATTTAAGAATTTTAATACTATCTAAAGTTCTACAAGAAAGCTCTAATGTGTATAATTAAATCAAATTCCATCTAAATAAGGAATTGAAATTGAAATTTTATCTTAATGATTGTATATGAAATCTATTTTATATATTATTCTTTGAGACTTCTTATAAATTGTAAATTCATTTTGTTTCATTAAATGTAATAAATAAAAATGAATATTTAAATTACTTTATTCTTTTATATTTATCTTATTAAATATGATTATGATAATGAATTTTTAAATTACATCATATGTAGTTAACATTTTATAATAAATTTTATATTTATGCTAGACTGTTGTTCTTTATGTGAAAAACATAAAGGAAAAACTAAAAAGGGGCTATTCTTATTTCCTTAAGAATTTAAACAATCATACTAAAATTTTTACATTTCTTAAATTGTATTGAAATTGATAGCACTAAATAACAATAAATTAATTTTTTAAGATAACTTTCTATTGTTAGATAATGAGTAAAATATTTGCGAATATTGCTGGTAATTAATGTAATATAGATTTACATGTAGGAAATGTAAAATACTTAATTTTTTATAAAATGAAAAGTAAAATAGATGTCAATTTTGCAACACAAATCTATGTTGTCATTGTGGATAACAATTAGATTTATTTCATTGTAATTAATCTGTTTGTTATTCTTGTTAAAAATAAGAAATAATTTAATATAAAATAGCATACATAGTTATGATAATAATAATAGGACTATTTTTACCTTACTTAGCTTTTACCTATCTTTTAACAAAATTTTTTGATCCTGTTCATCAGTATAAATTTTGTAAGAAAAGTGTTCTAAGAACATTTTTTTTATTTATACTATTATTTCCAATAATGTTTCCTTATGCTTTAATTGAACTTTTTATTACTGGATTTAAAGCAATAATAAAAAATTTAAGATGAAAATATGATGATAATAAAATAATCTAATTACTATTATAATTGATAAATTAATTATAATATATAGCACCCTTACATATTTATAATTGGAGGGAATATTTTGAATTAAATTATATAAATAATTATGGCAAACGTGTTCTTTGATATCTCCTTTGGTGGATAATAACCCTAAAGAATAGTATTCAGGTTATATGATGATGTTGTTCCAAAGACAGCTGCTAATTTCAGATAACTTGCATTAAATAGTACATATTTATATCTAAAATTCACAGAACCTGGAGAAGGATATAAGGGATCTCCATTCCATAGAGTTATTACAGATTTCATGGCCCAAGGTGGTGATTTCACTAAGTAAAATGGAACAGGAGGAAGATCCATTTACGGAGAAAAGTTTCCTGTAAACATTTAGTTTTTAACATTAGGATGAAAACTTTAAAATCAAACACACTAAACCAGGACTTTTATCAATGGCTAATGCAGGTCCAAATACAAATGGATCATAATTCTTTATCACATTTGTTCCATGCCCTTGGTTAGATAACAAGCATGTAGTATTCGGAGAAGTTGTTGATGGATGGCCCACATTAGAATTATTGAAAAAAAGTAATCATCTTAATTATCAACTACTTTAGATTCATCATAATAAGGATAACCAAAGACCTAAATCAAAATCGCTGATTCAGGAACATTATGAAAATATAATACATTCATTATACAAACAAATTTCATTTACCTTTAATAAAGTATCTAAAATTTAAATTATTTATAATAACATAAATAATGTGTTTCTTTAATTTCATTATTTTATTATTATTATTCTATCCTTCTATCTATTCAAAATAATATTCCTCTCATCATATTCTTGAGACTACTCATAATTTGTTTATTCTCAAATTATCTACATAATTTATAAAAATTTTTATTATTATATATATTAATAAGATATATATATTGAATAATATATTTACTTTAATTAATGTCTCAAATTAAGCATTGTAGAATATGCAATAATACTCATAGATTCAAAATCAAAGGTCTTTTGTCCTATCCTAAATAATTTGTAGACAAAAGTATCCACAAATACTATCAAAAATTAATGAAAAAATTTGAAGAACACTACATCTAATAAGTTGAATTATCTGAAGATCACATTTACTATATTTTAGAAAATGATATCTGTGAACATTGTTGGCTATTTATGCATTAAGGATTTAAATGTTAGAAGTGTCAAATCTATAATCACAATTTAAATTAAGAATCAAAAATTTGCTGTTTGTGCAATGTTTAATATTGTATAAATTGTTTAAACCCATTGGATTTATTCTCCTAAAATAAATTATGTGAAATATGTCAATCAAATAAGGATTAATAATTTGGAACATCAGCCTTTCTAATTTCCTTTTTAATATCCTTATTAATTCCTTGCTTTGCTTTCAGTTTCTTTTTTAAAAAAATGCTGAAAATAATAAAAAAATATTAGTCCTCCACTTTCTAAAATATTTTGGCCATTATAACCTTTTTTATAATGTTCCCATTCATTTATATTCTTTCAATCCTTGTTTTCTTCATTTTATTGATTGCTATGATATTTGTTTGGGCATTTGAATAAATATAAAACTTAGATAAGGTGAAAATGATCTCTAAATATCTATGTATACATAAATTTAAATGATTTACAATTATTAATGAATAATCATTCATTTTTCTATATAAGTTATGCTAATTAAATTATATTTTTGGTCATAATATGAATAAAATTTCAATGCTACGAAAACCTTTTGTATATTTTATTTTGGGAGGTAATAATAAAATATAATTTAAGGACCTGGATCTGGAAAAGGTACTCAATGTGAATTGTTAAGTAAAAATCTCAATTTTATTCATCTATCTGCAGGACAATTATTGAGAAATGCTGTAAGTATTGAACCTATTTTTATCAGATTAGTAATAGTTCACAACATAAGACTACAATTGAGAATTGTATTAATAATGGAAGAATAGTTCCTGTAATTCATTTTATTTGATATTGTTTAGAGTGAAGTTACAATTAGTTTATTGGATAAAGCTATTTTTGAAAACGATAAATCTGACACATTTTTAATAGATGGATTTCCTAGAAATTATGAAAATATGATTAATTGGATTGAATTAATGGATCACAAAATAAATTTTTAAAGTGTAATACATATAATTTGTTCAAAAGTATATTTTTCAATTTTTATATTTTAGTAAACTATGATAGAAAGAATATAAGAGAGATCAAAAACAAGTGGAAGATCAGATGATAATTTATAAACTTTACAAAAAAGATTCATTACATTTTAAAATGATACATAAAAAATTATAGATCATTATAGAGATCTAAATCAATTAATTGAAATTAATGGAGATAATTCTATAGAAATAGTCTAAGAAGAGATTTTAAAAAGATTTAAATAAATTCCAATTGAAGAATTTAAGTGTTAATATTGAAATAATTATGTTATATGATAGATCACTTAAAATGATATATATATATATAAATTTATAATGTAACCATACGATGGAGTTCAAAGAGCTAATTAATGCTCCCCGAGGCTGGAGTATGATCTTAATTTTCATCGTATTCCTATCCTAGACTGATATTAAATATCATCCAAGTACACATACGATGATTGCTCTAAAATTAATTAAAATTAATCTTAATATTATTATTTATGATTGATATCAATATTATTATGGGATTATTCAATATCTATATCTAAAAGCATTTCTAATAAATTTAGGAAATATAAATTCTTACTACATTACTAAGGAATTGAGAATTCAGGATTGATATAAAATTAGTAAATACAAATTGAAATCAATTAGTAATAAAAATTAGATGAAGTATTTTTTTATAGACAAAGTATATGTTCCTAGATAAAATATTTGTTTATTGAGAATATTAAATAAAAATTGATATATTTTTAATGAATTTGAAAAAATTAAGAATATATATTTTTAACTTACATTCATTTCTAAAAATTTAATTAAATATAAAATTAACGATTTCCTAGATGGATCAATAACATTAGTAACATTATTCAACCATAGAATGTGTTGTTTCTGAGAGATTAACAAGCAGAGGTAGATCATAAACCAAAGACACTATCTAAGTCTTATCTCCAAAATAAAATATTGTCTATGTAAAGAGATAACCATAACAAATTATTACAACAACTTAAGCACCGATTAGAACTGAAACTATTGTCAAACCTATTATCTAATAAGTCTAAAAAGTACAAGTAGTTGACAATAGAGAAGAAGTTGAATATTATAAGAGTAAATGTCTAATCTATGAAAAACAAATCAGTGAACTCAACATTGAAGTTACTAGATTAAGATCTAATCCTACAATCTAGGAAAAAATCACTTATGTTGAAGATTCTCATAAAGTAGCTGAATTGGAAAGATAATTACTAATCTATTAAACTGAAGTCAATAAAAAAACTTCATTATTGAAAGAAATTACTATTGAAATAGAGACACTTAAAATTAAAAATACTTAAATTACATCTCAATTAGTCTATTTTTAATAATAAAATAGTGATTTTGATAAACTAAAAAAAACTTAAATTGATAGTGAACAATTTTATTAAAATGAAATCTAAAGATTAAACATTCTAGTTCAATAGAGTTAAGCTTAATTACAATAATTATAAGCAACATTACTTGATTCAAAGAAGTATGAATAACTATATATTTAACTTTAATAAACTTAAACCACTTTAACTAATGAGTTAGAAAGATGTACTTAAGTTTTAAAGATAAAACAAGAAGAATTTGAAAATACAAAAATATAGTTTATTAAAGACTTAGAAATATAGTCATTAAGACTCAAAGAATTTGATAGAGATAATAAAGAATTAAAGTAAAAGGAATATTCAATCTAATAATAATTTGAAAGATTGAATAAAGAATATTAAGATCTAAGTGATAGATATAATATTGATATCAGATCTAAAAATGATGAAATTACAAGATTAACTACAGTGACATAAACATTGCAATTGACATTCCAAGATACTTCTAAATTCTCAGAATATGAACACAGATCAAAATTATAGAGTGAAGAAATTTAATTACTCAATTAAAAAATTAGAATCAAATAAGATGAAATAGATAAATGTAAATTACAGTTACATTAATATAATCTCTAATTATAAGAATACACTAAATATATTGAGTTTGAATCTAGATATAGAAGCATTTAATAAGAATATGAAAGAATTAATAATACTTTGAGATTAAAAATAGAAGAAAATGATAATTTAAGATCTTGCATCTCCAAATTATAATTAACTATTAGTGATAAATACAAATCTAATGATTATGAAAATAAAATTGCTTTATTGAGTTAAGAAATAGAAAGATTACATTAAAGTCTAAAAAGTAGACAAGATGAAAATGACAGGTTAAGATAAGATTTTCACTCTTTATAATAATCACAATCTGATTAATAATAATTAACAGTTCTCAATAGTGAAATTGATAGACTTAATACTCAACTTAAAAACAAATCTGAAGAATTAGAAAAATATAGATGCAATCTTAATTAGTTTTAGTATAATGAATCTTAAAGATTGAAAGACTTAGAATAAAAAAATGTTGTATATTCAAATGAAATTGATAGATTAAGTAATTTAGTTAGAGTCAAAATTAATGAATCAGAATAATATAAATAAGAATTGGTTAAATTAAGAGATTAATCTTCCAAATTTAATTAGATGTACAATGATAATGAAAAATTAACATCATTAATAAGAACCTTGTAGGATGAATTAGATCAATTAAAAAGAAAATAAAAACTAGATGAATCTCATTAATATAATGAAAAAATTTAAGTCTTAATTTAAGAATTAGATTCTTGGAAAACTTAATTTATTACTTAAAATAGAGAATTCCATAAAAATTAAGAATTACTAATATTAGCATAAGCTGAATTAGATTCTTTGAAAAATAAAAGAACCTCCACTTTAAAAGTAAATAATTTATTAATAAATTTTAGACTGAACAATATACTGATTCGAACAATGAAAATAAAATTGAATTTAAAAAGAATCATACTCCACAACCTAGTTATATTTTAGGAATATTAAATACAAAAAATGCTTGAAATATTATTAATAAATAATATATTTACTTAACAAAAATTGTATTTTGTTTCAGAAAATATTTATTTTCTCCATAAAATATTCAATATATGATTTATAGTTCTTGATATTTTTTTACAATATTTTAAATTACAATCCTTAAGTAATTTAGATTATCATACAAACTTCTAAGTAAAACGGAAAACTTTATCTGCAAATTTAAAATAATTATCAACCCTATGAAAAAGTTACTTGATTTTTTTTGAGAAGTAACTAAATTAATAGATGCAAAAAGCAAAATATAGATTTTATAATATTACTCTGCTAACAGATAAAACAACTTAACACTTCAAAGTTTAGAACCAGATCCTTAAAATTGTTTAAAGCACAAAAAATTAATGAAGGGATTTAAATATAAATTGAATAAAGAATAGCAAGAGGACATGATTAACTGATTATTCCTAAAAATAAAGAATAATTATTAAAACAGCAGGTTCTTAAATTAATAAAGAGCATAATTTAAGAGAGAATCATAAACATTAAGTCAATATTATAATTTTTATGTAAAGTCTTGAGTAATTTGTAATAAATTTGTCCTAAAAAATTAATGAAATTTTATTAATTTTTTCCTTTATTTTTTATCATCTTGATTGAATCTCTTACTAAAGCAAGGAGTATTATTTAAAGTTAAAAAAGGTGCAACTCCAACTTTTTAATTTATAAATGTTTTCTAAAAGGTAAGATTCTATTTGGCCTTCAATTTTAGAAAATTTTAAAAAGCAATTAGACTCAATGAAAATCACTAGCATCCCTCCTCAATGACTTACTAGAGATTCTTTATAGATTTTTTTCCTTAAAATCACTAATTTTTCCTATACTCAAGTAAAATAGCATTTATTATTATTAATTGATTGTGTATTACTTAAAAAAGTCTATATTCAGTTTCAATTATTTTGTTATCATAAAATACTATGACTTCTAGGCAACTTCTTTTTGAATAACTTTCGATATTTTTCTAGATTCAATTCATTCTTTCTTTGATAGAAATAATCTTGATTTCTTAAAAAAAAATTTCAAATAATTTAAGAACTAAGTCTGCGAAAGTCTGGGATTGGTACAAAATTTATGAACAAACTAAGATAAGGAACAACCCTCAAATTAGCCCATAAACATAATCGAAATGTATGGGCTATAATACCAGTTTTGATGGAACTGAAGAGAAGATTGAAAACTTGAGTCATTGTTATTAGAAAAATTGATGTTTTTGGAAAAATTCAATAATAAGAGTTTAAGAATTAGATGCAGGTGATAGACCTAAAAAAATATATAACCAATCAAAAATGTGGAATGTAGATTACTTTTCCTAAAAAAGCTGTTTGAAGACATGGAGAACTGGATATTAGAAACGTGTTTGAATTTTTGGCATACTTAAATGCAGCAAAAAATATAACAATTTATATTGAATTTAGAAATAATTAATATTATGAAAACTTAAGTAGAATATAAAATAAATATCAAATATAATATACTTTAATTAAAAGCTATTAGTATTTAGGATGTTAATTAATAAGGCTAAAAGTGAAAAATTACAAAAACTTAAATATATGTGGGAATGTTTCATTATATACAGATAATTAAACATAAATTAAATTTAATAATAAAATACAGAATTTTTTGAGAAAATAGATAATAATTAATTGATTCAATAGATTTGTGATAAAGATATTAATATATAGATATTATATATGATAAAACAATAACACTTATTAGAGACATTACACTTAAAATTTATCAAGAATGTTAGAATTACGAGATTTGTTCTAGACTAATATTTAAGGAACAACGAAAGTCACATTATTGAGCTTTCAATATTATTATCATGGTTATATTATAAAAAATATATCAGTTGGCTGTAGATTTCAACCATGAAGTTGTACTTTTTAAGTATAATAAAATAGTAAGATAAGATCTAAAATTAATGATTAAAAAAGATCTAATTTTGTTAACAGAAAATGTAAAATATTAATAAGCATAATTATAATCAAATTACTAAAAAAAACAAATTGTAGAGTTACTTAATTCAATAAAAATTCTGTTTGACATATCAAATAGATATCTACATAATCAAATTATTTGATTGTTCCTTTAATAACTCAGGAAGAATTGAAAATAAATCATATACATAGACTATTTAAGTATTTTTAATGTCATTTTTATTAAAGAATTTTATAGATCAATTTGATAAACAGTCTTTTTGAAATTTAAAATTAAACATTTAATAAGTCAAAATAATTTATTATTATTATTTAAGATAATGTAAATATCTAAAAATATATATCTACAAATTTTTGTTATTCCATAGATATGTTTTCTTTAATACATATGCTGTTAATCAAAAAACAAATATTCTATAAAATGGTATGTTCAAGCTAAAAATATGTAAGAAGAATTTTTTAAATAATAAAAAAAATCATTATAATACGATAAAAATAAATTTTAAAGTTCAAAATAAGTTTTAAATATTAATGACTTATAAATGAACTATAAAAAAAAATTTATACTGATTCTTATATAAATTCAATCATTATAAAATATAGATAATCATTGATAATATAAGCAGTATTTATTCTGAACTGTTTTAATTTACTGTCATTGTTTATTCACTGTTAATTTCTAATTCTAAATTTGCTCTTGTGGATTAACTATTTTATTCTTAGGTACCTTCTTCTTCACTTTCTCTTTTTAATGCTTTTCTTTCTGATGTACCTTCTTCTTCACTTTCTCTTTTTAATGCTTTTCTTTCTGATGTACCTTCTTCTTCACTTTCTCTTTTCATTGCTTTTCTTTCTGATGTACCTTCTTCTTCACTTTCTCTTTTTAATGCTTTTCTTTCTGATGTACCTTCTTCTTCACTTTCTCTTTTCATTGCTTTTCTTTCTGATGTACCTTCTTCTTCACTTTCTCTTTTTAATGCTTTTCTTTCTGATGTACCTTCTTCTTCACTTTCTCTTTTCATTGCTTTTCTTTCTGATGTACCTTCTTCTTCACTTTCTCTTTTTAATGCTTTTCTTTCTGATGTACCTTCTTCTTCACTTTCTCTTTTCATTGCTTTTCTTTCTGATGTACCTTCTTCTTCACTTTCTCTTTTTAATGCTTTTCTTTCTGATGTACCTTCTTCTTCACTTTCTCTTTTCATTGCTTTTCTTTCTGATGTACCTTCTTCTTCACTTTCTCTTTTTAATGCTTTTCTTTCTGATGTACCTTCTTCTTCACTTTCTCTTTTCATTGCTTTTCTTTCTGATGTACCTTCTTCTTCACTTTCTCTTTTTAATGCTTTTCTTTCTGATGTACCTTCTTCTTCACTTTCTCTTTTCATTGCTTTTCTTTCTGATGTACCTTCTTCTTCACTTTCTCTTTTTAATGCTTTTCTTTCTGATGTACCTTCTTCTTCACTTTCTCTTTTCATTGCTTTTCTTTCTGATGTACCTTCTTCTTCACTTTCTCTTTTTAATGCTTTTCTTTCTGATGTACCTTCTTCTTCACTTTCTCTTTTCATTGCTTTTCTTTCTGATGTACCTTCTTCTTCACTTTCTCTTTTTAATGCTTTTCTTTCTGATGTACCTTCTTCACTTTCTCTTTTCATTGCTTTTCTTTCTGATGTACCTTCTTCTTCACTTTCTCTTTTTAATGCTTTTCTTTCTGATGTACCTTCTTCACTTTCTCTTTTTAATGCTTTTCTTTCTGATGTACCTTCTTCTTCACTTTCTCTTTTTAATGCTTTTCTTTCTGATTAACCCTCATCTTAACCTTTATTTTTAAATCCTGTGATTTATTCAATACTTTTGTTTTCTTCTTCCTCTTTTGAAAGATCCACTTAAGATATCACCTATGTTAACACAAAAAAAATGAACACTATTGAAATTAATTTCATTAAAAATATTATTAAAATTTTCAACTTTTTATTCAAGCTTTATATTCAATTTTTTAATTATTTTCAAATTATCGTTTTTTTTTACATTTTTAATTAAATTGTTATTTTTTCTTTATGTTTTATTTATAAATATAATACAGTGATGTTTTAAAAGGTTTTATTAGAACACAATTATTTAAAGCATGTATTTTATAAGTTTTAAAATTTACAAGTCATTTGGATCAATTAAAAAGCTTAATATCCTGTTTTAATTACTTATATAAAAATTTTTATTGTACCAAGAATCTTTTTTTTATCTGATAATGTGTTCTCTGTTATCATATTATCTTTATATTGTTGGTTTTTAAATTTATTGTTCCTATTGTTACTATTTTTTTTTGAAATTTTTAATTTCTTTTTAAATTAACCATTTTTGGTATCATAACATTTTTGAATAATTAATCTCTTTTCCAACCCTAAATGTTTTATTAAAGAGGAGTTTACGATATTCAATACATTTTACTTATTTTTTTTTCACAGATTTAAATCCAACTGTCAATTTTAAATAATTCAATTTCTCATTTATATATAACATATATGAAAACTCAATATAAAATTGTAAAAAATAGTATAGAGGGCAGTTGTCAATATAAAGCAACTTGCTAAACAAACCCATTACAGTGTTTTCATCTGGGGAAAAAAAATAATTAGATGATATTAAATAAATATTTTAGATATAATATCTTAAAAAGATGATTACATTATTTTGATAAACAATATAAATATATAAAGAAGATTATTAAGTAATTTGATAACTTAAAAGTAACAATATAGATCAATAAATCAATTTTAATTGGAAAATATAAAACCTTTATTTTTTTGAGGAGTTTGAGCAGTCCTCATGAAAATGAATTTAATTGTGTTCTAATATCTAAGAAATAATGTGTTTCAAATAAATGAATTTATAATGATGTAAAAAATTGTGATGAAAAAACATACACATAAATTATTTTATTTAATATTTTTTTTAATTAGAATAACTTTCTGATTGTTTATGTTTAGAATAAAAATTTCCATAAATAAATTTTTTATAAATATTAAAAATAAAAAATTCATTTTGGTCTTTATATTTTAGGTTCTATGATTGATTCATCAATTCTTGACCGAAATAGAGGATCCAATGGACTTAAGTTGCCTTGTCGCTATTATGAAATTTAAATCTATTCAAAAAACTATACTATATTTCTATCAATCAGAGATAATAATTTATCATCAACACTACTTCTTCCTTTGTCTTATTATAAGGAGGAAAAAGAACAATAATAATCCTTAAGATTTTTTTATTATAATTTTTTATTATTAATAACTCTAAAGCTTTTTTAAACACCAGCTTCATAAGCCAAATCATTGCTAATGTCTTCCATTAAAATTTTTTCATCTTATAAGATAGGTTTAGGGAGTAGATCAAACATTTTGTACTATTCATCATTGAGTAGAATGAATTTTAGCAGATCAATTTCATGTAATTTTTAAATGATCTTTACTACATCCATTTATGAAAGTATTTCTTATTTGACTTACTAAAACATTTATTTTTTCTTTTTATGACAACCTAATAAAATCAAGAGGGATTCATAAATTCCTCTTGAGAGTTTATCTTCAGTATTAATTTCTCTGGATCTTCGATTTTATTCTTAGACATCTAAAATCTAATCACTTTACTATAAATTGATGATTTCAATATTTTATTGTCTTTATTTATCAAAATTGGGAAATCGATATAATTCATTAGCGAGTGAAATTGTCATTAGATTGCTAATTAGAGGATTTAGAATTAAGGCAGTTATAATCATAAACAATTGCCAAATTCCTCCAATTTTACTTAAAATTGCTTATATTTTGATGTAAGATCTCTGATAGATTGTTTCTTTGTAATCTAATTATATATAATGATAAACAAGATAATCATCATTATATAATTCTGTATATTCTCTTCTGTCTTATTTTATTAAATTTAAATCTACTCTATCTGTAGAGGATAGAAATCCATCATCAGTATGAGTTTCAGATATTCTATATGTCCATTACAACATTTTAGAAGTTGAGATAGAGAAACTATTTATATCTAGATTAATAAATTCTTAGTATGGTTTATTAGGATGATTTAATTACATTAAATAATCGCTTGCATAAACAGAATAATGACCTGCAGATAATACCTTCTTGATTTCTTCAATTGGAGCACACCCTTAATATTCTGTATTATTTTTGCAAATACTCAATTCAATTACTAAGTATTGATACTTATAGCCAGAGATTTGACCTTATAAAACCTCAAATTAATTTTTTTTTAAATACTGGAGGATTATTTCTGAGTGTAGTTCGATTGATACATTACACAACACCTAATCTAGTATTTTTGAAAAATTCTTTCTATAATTCATTATCAAAGTCTTCTGTTACACAAGGTGCTATTGGTAATTGTGTACAACTAAATAGTATTAAAAATATTACTTTAACTTCACCTAAACCTTGCCTGTGGTCTCATTTAATAATCTTTCTCTAATGCAATGACTCATAGTCAAGTTGTAATATTTAAATTACCCTAAAATAGGTTCTGAATTTTTAGTTGCAATTGTGACTGCTAGAGTGAAATTATCATTGTAAAGTGGGAATTACTTTAATTACTATCAATATTTACTGTTGAGTCAAATATCTGAACCTCAGATGAAACAACTTGAGGTTCTGCTTTATGTAAAAGAGTTGTTATTTCAGTTATTAAGTATATTAAGGTAGCTGTTCCAATTATGAATGTCATACAACAACCAACAACTGTGGTGAACTTGTTTTTTTCGAGTACTCTGAAATTAGGAAGTTATCCAAAAATATCGAAAGTATCGATCGTTGAATTGCCTATTCTATAAAAAATATTCTTTTATTGATCCAACATTAGAAAAAAAATCTTAATAAATAAAAAAATTGATTTTATATCTCGAGTAAATAAAAAATGGTATATTATTTAGAGTTTGGTATTATTACAATTTTAATATAAATAGAATAAGTCTAATTTAAATCTGAATTCATTAATTATTTTAAGGAAATAAGTATTGAATGATACAAGATATAGAAAATTTATATAGAAATGATGCAGCCTTAGAAGATAGATTATCTTCACAATCTACTAAACAGGTTTTTATGAATGTTTTTTGTGATGATCTTGATGAATTTTTGGAATATGAAACTCAAATCACAGGATCATATATTAGAAATTAATGTTTAGTGATAAAAAAAAAATAATATTCATTTATAATTCCAGAAGGAATGACATTATTACAGTTAATTTAGTAGAATAATAGATTTACAATTTGCTAAATCGAAGTGATATATAAATAGTTATTAGAAGCTTTATATCAAATACATAAGAAATATAGTTTAGGAAGATGTTTTCATGTCCGTAATATTTATTATCATAATAATAAAATTTAATTGGCTGTTTTTGGATTTTATCCAAATCTATAATTAATACCTCCCGAATATTTAGAGAGAGGAGAACAGAATCAAAGAAGAGATTATAGTTAGAGTATAGATGTTTGGTTGGTGGGTTGTATTATATTTTAGTTATTTACTGGAGAAATATTGAATCGTTTTCAGACAATTTAAGAATATTGTTAATTTTATAATTAAATTAAATCAAAAAGGATTGAGAATAATTGGAAAAATCGTATAATGTAAATGCTTCACCCTTAAGAGGTTTAGAGATGTACATTTTTTTAGATGCATCATGAAATATTGAATAGCAATCAAAAAGGAATTAAATAATTTTATAAAACTACTTTTTTATCATAGAATTACATTTATTTGATAAAAGCTAGAGAATAAATTGATGATGATTACATAGAATGGGCTGTGGTATATAATAATTTGTTAAAAATTTTAGCCTTAAGAATTTACAACAGAAATGGTAATACCAAAAATGTTAAACCCATTTCGAGATAAATATAATTATCCCAATGTTGTGATTACACAAAGAAATGAGAATGTAAATCCTTACCCAAGAATAACTAATTCTGGTTATTATTCTTCACCTATACAACCTTCTCCTCCAAATAATGATTAATCATAAAACTCTTCAAATGGATCAAATAATGAAAATTTGGAAGAAAGAGTACAATATCCTGAATTAAACTTTTTGACAAACAAATGCAGAGATTAAAATGTAAATGTCAAATATAGTTTTTTAGGATTTCTTATAATATAAAGCTATTTGGATTGAATTACACTTTGAATCCTATAAATGGTATTTAATTGGTTCTTTAAAAGAATATTTAGAGAGATCTATTTAGGAACAATAAAACGAAGGAATATAGAGCCCATTAGAAACATTGGGTATTTATTGTTTATTAAAAATGTCAATCATTATGAGATAAGAATTTCTAAATCAATGGAATACAGGAATTTTAAATTTCGACAAAAATATATGGTAGTAATTTATTAAGAAAAGTGGATAAGCAAAAAGATTTTATAATGATGTGAGAATGTAACTTATAGGAGATTAAAGTGTGATAGATTAAAATTTTATGAATTGCAATAATAATTTTTAACATTATAGTGAATATACAGTTGTATATGATTAAATAAAACAATCAATTACAGAAGTAATTATAAAATATTATTATTAATTAGACAATTAATGAATAGACATTTAATGAATTTAAATTACCATATAGAATTATTTTACGTTCTATTTTAATTAGAATAGGAAATAGTTGTTAATAATGCAAAGATACAAATAAAAAATTAGAACTATATTTGCTTTAATTAAAAATAATAATTTGCATGGCAATTTAATAAATCTTTTTACCTTAAAATAGGGATTTTATTTTCAGAATTGTGAAACAAACTGTGAATATTACAAATTTTGATAATCCATATTATTTAGAATCAATATTCTTTTAATAAAATGAAATTAGATTAATGGAATAATAAATTAAAATTATTGAATAAGATTATTTTGGTAGTAAGAGATGAATAACAAAATGAATTTATTAATTAAAGTATTAACAATATTTTTTATATATTTCAAATCAAAAGTCAAAATCATCTAATAAATCTCCTTTTTCAGCTTTTTAAGCTAACTCTTTTTACTAGAAATATTATTATTTGAGAATAATACCTTATCTATTTTTTATTGATTTCCTACTCCTCTTCTATTTGCTCCACCTCCAAATCCAGGCTCATATGTTTCATTATCCTCTTTGGGTACTTCAGGTTTTCTCTTTTGTTAATTTGGTCTATACTCTTCTTTTTACTTAGGAGCTCCTAAAATTTCATCCAAAGTAAGTTCTCTATCTTCTTTATGCTGAACCTCTGGAATTTATTTTATGTCTTTTATTTCTTGTATCTCTTCAATATTTTCCTTCTAAACAGGTTAATCTTCCCATATATTTAACTTATTATTTCCTCTATTTCTCCTTCCTTATAATTTAGTTGGTTCTTGTCTTGGTTAAAATTCATAAGTAGGCTCTTCTGTTTTTGGAGCTTCAGGTTATTTTTCATCAGTAAATAATTTAATTCTTCTCTATCTACTTCCATCATCTGACGGTTAATATGATTATTATTATTATTGATTAGATAAGGATTATTACTATGATGAAATTGATTATTATTATGATTACTATTAACTATTATTTTATTCACCTTATTCTTCTTGACCACCTCTGTTTCTTCTTCTTGTAGGATATTCAGATTATTGTGTTTAATCTTATTTTTAATTTATTTATATTGGTTACTCAGTTGTCTATTAGTTTTATTATTATTCTATTGAATTATAATCTAATCCTCTAGGTCTATTTGATACTCTTCTTGTAGGAAATGTAGGTTAATAATCATCAACTGGTTTTGGTTATTCTGATTAAGTAGGTTATTCTATTGATTTATTAATTTAACTGTTTTAATTATTTGTATCTTTATTATTATCTCTAGGTTATTCAACTGGTTTTGATTAATGTATTATAAATTAAGTAGTTTCTTCTTATTAATTTTATTAAGGTCGTCTCATCATTCTCATCATTCTAGAAGGACCTGTATATTCTGTTTAAACATCACTAGTATTACTTTATTAATTACTTACGTTGCTTTGACCTAAATCAACTTAAGGTTATTAATCAACTGATTTTCTTAAATTACTAAAAGGTTTTGAATTTAATTTATTTTATTGATTAGGTGATTATTATTATTATTATTATTACTATTATTATTATTATTATTATTATTATTATTATTATTATTATTATTATTATTATTATTATTATTATTATTATTATTATTATATTACTTAAATATTTTATTTTAATGGTGTAGATTGGGATATTGCAATTTATTTTTTCTCTTCTTATTTAATTTGTTATTGTTATTATTCATTTTCATCTTCACATATAATTTCTTCCTCTACTTCATTTTTAGATGTTAACTACTATGATTTATCATCTTATTTATTAGGTAATTTTAATTCTTTATAATTATTTTAATCTTACTGTTACTTAGAAATAGGTGGTTTAGCACTTTATAATTTTCTTTAACTTTCTTAGATTTTTTTTTCATTTTATAATGCATCTGAAATATTTTCTTAAGTCATAGTAGCAGGAATAGATTTAAAAACATCAGAAGGTACTTTATTTTTTAATTCATCTTTTTATCTTCTCTAATCAATTAAAATCATTTCATTAGCATTAATTTATGAATCAATACGTTCTTTTTCTTTTTTTAATTCTTTGATTTCTTTTTCTATCATTTCTAATTATTTATCTTTTTTTTCCATAATAAAATGATGTTTAAGTAAATTATCCTTTTAAGCCAAAAGAACAATATATTATTCTTTTTATTTACTAAATGGTTTATCTCCACTAATATCAATTTTATACTTTTCAGCTTCTTCTTCCAAAAGTTTTAATTCCTTATTAATTTTGGGTAATTCAACATCTTAAGCATTTTTGATATTGTCTTTTTGTTTATTCAATTATTCTTATTGCTCTTTGATCTTCTTTCTAAGATTAACCATTTCTTGATTAAGATTATTTCTTTCTTTACTCAATTTATCAAAACCATCTTAATTTTCATACTTATCAAGATCTTTACCACGTTATTTTTGTTACAAAAACTCTTACTTTTTTCTTTATTCTAATTTTTTCATCTCATCTTCATATTTTTTAATTTCCTCATCTAATTTAATAATGTAATTAACTTATTAAACTTACTATAATCTAGTGGTTAATTTATTAATTTCTTCATCTTATTATTCTAATTTTTTTTAATTAATTTCTATTTCTTTATCAATAACAGAACCTCCAGATAGTTAAGATTATGCAGTTTTCTATCTTTTTAATTATGGTTGTGGTTAAGGTTAAGGTGGTAGTCGTTATGCATTTTATTCTACTAATTTAGTTACTTCATCTGAAATTTCTTTAAGTTTTTATCTAAGTTATTTATTTTCATCATGCAACTGTTTTGGTTTCCAATTTGAGTAATCTTGAGAAGCCATTAGTTCTGCATATTTCTCTTAATATGTAGGTTTCTACTTTATGGGTTATGTAGGTAGAGGAGGTCTTTTCTTTTTTATTTAAGGCTCCATAATTGGAACTGGTTTATATTATTGAGTATTTTTATTATCTTTCACCTATTTCATCTATTAATTGTTATTAGGTTAATGTTGTTCTTCATCCTAGTCCTATTCATCATAATTTTGTTCGTAATCATTTTATTCATATTCTTCATTATATTGTTCTTCTTCATTTACTTCCTCATTATATTATTCATTATCTTCAGGGACTTCTTCATCTACTTCTTATTCAAGATTTTCTTCATTCTGATTATCTTCTACAAATTCCTCACTTTAATCTTCATATTCATAGACTTCACCTTCTTCCTCTTCAGGTTGTTGAGGTGTTTTTACTCTCTGATTTGAAATTTGATTTTAGTTTTTATTATTTTTTGGTTACTATTAATTGTTCTATTCATCCTCTCCCATCAGATCTTCTTCATAATTGAATTCTTCATTGTTAAGGTCTTCATTTTCGATTTCTCCAAATTCATCTTGATCCATAAAAATAATTAAAATATGAATTTCTGCTACTTATCAAAGTGATTCATAATAAGATAAAGACATACTATATAACTCGACAATATAAAAAGACAACAGATAATATACTATAATATATAGATTTGAAATGCTATTAAGCTAATTCATAAAATATCAAGAAGAGTGAATCATATCTATGTTAGATTATGTCTCTTACTTACTATAAGTATTTTTGATAACATGTATTTTCATGTTTTATTAATCATTATGCACATTAAGAATTCTAAATTCTACTAAAGTGTTAGATTTTCATCATTTACATAGTTTAAGAAAGTATGTTTCCTTAAGAATTGATAAACAAAGAATTATTAAAAGCAAAGCCAGAAATAGATATAAATGACTATAATAATAAAGAGTGATTTGATGATTATATCATGTATATTCAATTGATAAAACATTTAAATAAAATATTATGATTAATAACAATCTTTTAGAAGACTAATAAACTTTGGAAGACAAAAAAATATCATGATAAAGGTTTGCTACTTTACTCTTGTTAAGATCTTTAATATAATCTAAGTTCATAATATAGAATAAGAAGGATGAGATAAAAAAGGACTTCATTAAAGAATATTACATTTATAAATAGTTTAAATATATGGAATGATAAACAATTTGAATTAAACAGTGAAAATACAATCAATCAAGAATTAAATAAATAAAAATGGATATTAGATTTTTAAAGAAATTGAGTTGAAGTGAAACTTTACATCTTCAATAATAATTTAATATCTAGATCAAAAAATATAAGAAGATAGAATTGTAATCTAGATTAAAGTTTTAAATACACTATGTATATATCATTAATAAGTATCATCTACCTTTGATTATTATTCTAGCTTTTCTAATATTAATTGTATCTTAATCTAGATCAGATTATAATTCAATTGTCATTAAGATCTAATTATCATCCATAATTGGAATTTATAAATCTTAAGGTTATTCCCCTTCTAAAGTTGAAACCAGAATGAATGGAATAGAAGTAGATAATGAATTACCGCATTCAATTAATTTATGTTTTTCCATATTCCATTAACAATTCTAACATTCTAATCCTCCAAGTAAATAAGATCCATCATTCAATTATTACTATTAAATATGATTAATTTCTGTGCATTTTGATATATCAGTATAAATATTTAGATTCCAAGCATTTAACCCATTCTTTCTACTAAATTATAATTTAAAATATTCTAACAATGCTTATGGAATGTACAGGTAACTCAAATCAAAATATCTACGAGTTTATTAATCTCTTAAAGCTTTTAATTGGTTTACATTATGATTGACCATTTCCACTACATTATTTAACATCAATCGAGATTTTGGTTTATACCACAAATATTAATATAATTCTATTGGACAATATGCTAATTAATATTCATCAGGATTGATACTAATGTAATTTGATAACATTTTTATCAGAATATTATACTTTTAGATTTGAATATTTATATATTGGTCAATTGCATCTATATATTAAAAGTTTTATTTATTTTTGTTTATAATATTTAAAGCTGTTTTTCGATAATATTAAGAAAATGGTTTTGAATCATTTTTTTAGAATGAAAATTTTCTTGTTAATTTTTACTCTAATTTTATCAAAGTAAGAGGCTCAACTAATTTAAATTGAGGTGTTTTATTTATATTTAAAATAGCATTACTATTACTATGATTGTTATTAGTTTATAATTATTAAAATTATTATATTATTTATTGATTTTACTAATGATAGATAGTAAAATTGTTATGCCCATATCCAATACTATAAGTATCATTTGTATCTGGAATACGATTAATCATTTCATCTAACCAAACATCACTACCAATAGGAAGAGTTTAAAAATGTAAATATTAATAGTTTTCAGTATTGACTTACTAATTACAATGTTTATGAATAATACTTTCTATAGTTAATATATCTTCAGGTGGTACATTGTATATTCCATCTGTTATTATTTTAAACATACTATTAGTATTTGTGTTAATGAAATATGGTAAATTAAATTTTAAAATTAGATTTAAATCTGCTAATGTATATGTTTGAGAATTTAAATTCAATAGTTAATTTCTTTGAATAATAAAAAAATGCATATAACATAAACTATATGTGAACTTTTTCAATTCACTTGTATAACCATCTACTTTAGGTATATACATTTTAATATTCTGACGTATTTGTTCATTATATTATAAAAAGGATTTCTAACAATTCAATAAAGTTTTATCAAGTAAAGTATCTTCTTCAAAATTTTCTATAATTTAATGTGGATATTTGCTCTAAATAATTTATTCTTATAAACTAAGAGGATAATGTGATAGATTAATAAATAAGTATTGTTGATTAAGTTCTTATTAACCTCTATAAATAGGTATATTTATATCTTCTACTAACTTATTTAATTAGGATGACACATAAATAATTTATTTTTCACTAGATTAATATTCTTTATTCGTTTTAATTTAAGTAGAGTGTCTCATTGATCTATCTTTTATATATTCATTAATAAATCTTCTTAAATGTCTAGGTTTAAATGCCTTGATCATTATTAATTTTTCAAATATCTATAATTTTTCTTCATATTCATTTGGCATTTAAATAGTATCATCTAACCATTTCTACCAATCTTTTGGATATCTTGATATTTAAGAATGTAAATCATCAAATGATGGTGATAAGCTCATTATATATCTAATTTCCTCCCATTGATCTTATTTAATGAATGAAACTGTTATACTTTTTGGGTACTTACTTAAATCCTTTTATATTTATTATCCAATTATATATAAGAATTGATCACTAGAAATTGTTCTATTTCTTAAATCTATTTAAGTATATAGAATGAATTTCACTAACAAATGATGTTCTAATCTAAATTATTTCTCTATCAAATGCATTGATTACAATGTAAAATGATTACTAATTATCCAATAACGTTCAGAACTATCACCTTTTATTTAATCCATCACTTAAATCAATTTATCTAATAATTATTACATTGTTATATAATAACGACGATCAAATATATAAGATTGTTATAATCCTTTGTAAATTAATAAGAATCTTACCATCAAAGGATGATATATCTCAAATTTAAATTATCCATTATATTATTTCTATTATTCCTATTAATCTATTAATTACTAAATCTAGGTTATAACATCTAAGTTAATTATACTATTAAATTATGAAGAAATCAATAGACTTAATTATTATTCATAATTTGGATCCATAATTGGACGATCTTCATCTAAAAGAGACCCTAAATTTATCAAAGTCAAATTCTCTTCATCATATTATTATATCAACTTATCAAATATATCAGGATTTTCTTTTTGTAAAATGTGTAATAAAGCATATGATTCTATTTCTTTATCTTATTTCTTATAATAAATTGTTCTTAACAAAGATTAAGCTCGATTTTCATGTCTTATTTAATGAGTAATAAAATATATCTTGGCTTCCTATTATTATTAAAATTATAAAATAAATGATCTCCATTGTTAAGAATTTAATAAGTCTTCAATAATTACATCCTTTATTATAAAACATTATTAAGTTTAATAATTTCTCTTAATTTCAACAATATTGCTTAAATTAAATATCCATACAAGTGCAGTTGGATAAAATTATTAAATGTATTCTTAAGATAAATTTTCAGGATCGATAATAAGTAATATATTCTTTTCATTCTAATATTTTAAATTCAATAGTAATTACATATCCTCATAATCTAATTTACATTATAAATTTAGATTATCAATCTATTTCTACTTTATCTATTAATTGTAAGTTTGAGAAATACTTTATACAAAATTAATATCAATCAATTAGATTTATTGTTATTATAAATTGAAAATGTTTTATTACCATTATACTGAATAATTATTTAAATACTTTAAACATTTCCTCGTTGCCTCAAATATTTTAGTTATTTTATCTAACTCATCTGCAAGAATTCGTTATTTAGATTGATATATATTAATTTATTATTCTTACTATTGAATCATCATTGAACGCAATTGTTATTTATTTTTCATTTCTTCTACTGCTACTTTATCATTATGAAGATTGTTTTATAATTGAATTAAAGTTTATTAATAAACACAAATATTGATTGCAATCTAATAAATTGTTTAAATTTATTAAGAAGATGATGGATATTTTAAAGTAACTTATTCTATTTAATATTATTCTAATTATGGTAAATCAACTAAATGTACTAATTCCATTACTAATGGTTATAAAAAGGGAAATTCTTAGATTATATGATAATGTTATAATCTTTATTTATTATATTATTAAAACTATTGATTTAATTATTACTATTGTTTATGAATTTTCTATTCACCTTTATTGATATTTTCATTTATTTTATTAATTTATTGATTAATATCTGCCAATTCTAATTTATCCTTAGATGTCTCATTATTTATTATATTAATTTAATTAATGACTTCTTAATGATCCTAATTGTATTTATTATATTAATTTGTTATTGTACCAAATTCATTGTTAGCTTCTTCAATTTTATTAAGAACTTTTTAATAGATAATAATAAGTCTCTAATTTTCTGATTTGGATTATTAATATTATTTTTAAAAGACATAAAGTTAATCAAGGAATTATTAAATAAATCCTTTAGATTATTCAAAGATCTTGCAAAAAAGATTATTATCAATAGATCTATCATTTATAATTTAAGTGGCAACATCTTATTAAAAGATCTTTGGCCAATCAAATAATCTTATTATTTAAGTTTTATAAAGTATTCTTTTATATTCATTAACTTCTTTCATATCTTCAATCAATATACAAATATGTAATTATGAAATAAAATCAACTTTAGATTATTAATATATATTAAAACAATACTAATTTGGATAAGAAATGAATTAATATACATTTTCATTTATATTAGTAACATAAATAATATGATGTTATTGATCCAAATTTTATAAAAGATCATTTAATCCAATATCATTATATTTTTATTCATATTACATAATAAATGAAGCTAATCTAATAAATGAATTTCTACCACTTCCAATCCTACCTTAAATTAAAATGTGTTAATCATATTACCATCCTCTCATAATACATATAATTTTCTATAAATGACTTTCATGCAAAAATAAATTTTAAACATTTTCCTTTTTTATTTCATCAAATATTTATTTCTATTATTAAATAGAAATTTCTATCATATAATCACCAAAAGATAATTCTTTAATAAATTTATCTAAATTGTCTATATCAACAATATCCATCATACCACCAATTATTCTCATTACATTAAAATAAAATTAATTTATAAATTGCTAAGGTTCATTTATTACAATTAAAGGTTGTAAAATTCTATACCATATAGTATTATTATCAAATAAATAATGATAACACCATTATTTATGCCATTATTATTTAAATTTATGCTTAAGTTTCAATATACCATCATTTAAATAACCTTATTCAAGGTATTATTTAACTTTATCTTTAGTAAGATTAATTATAATTTGAGTATAAATATTTTCAATTAAAGGAGTTCTATTTGTATTGATAAATACAAAATGTTTAAATTAATTATATTTCTATATTGTTTATTCTTATGAAGTTCCTAATAAATACATATTACTAATAAATTTTTATGTGTAATTGCTTTTCTTATCAAACATATAATTGCATTCATTTAAATGTTTTATAAAATAGCGACATTAATTTGATACATTTACATCTTCAATTATAAAGTGCTTAACTTAACCAAATGGAGGAGATAAACAAAGTTGCTTATCCTTTCTATATGTCATTAATTTCTCATCAAAGAATTCTTACAATTCTATTGATTTTGTTTAACGACTAAAATATAATCCACTTGAAGATTTTAATTATGCTAAAATGCTTTTATTACAAGAAATCTCACCATAAAAGAGTATATGACTCTACAATTCTTAAATTGCATATAATTCTTATTAATTAAAATAATATTGTAAAATTGTATTGTTGTATGAAGACTTCTAATTAAACAATTAATCTAGTTTTCTTTCCTATATTACCATTTATATCTAATTTATTACTCTAGATTTATTTTCTCCATCTAAAATTAAACAAAACAATATATATATAGCATAAGTACTTATATTATCAACATCTAATTATGTAAACTTACTATATTGCTATTCATTATAATATATACTTAATATCTTTGCAGATTATTGTAATACATATTATAATTAATATGGAAAATTCTATAAAAGTCGATAATATTATTCAATTTAATTAATTAGATTACGAGCTAATAAAGTTTATAAATCCAAATTATTTATATATTTTAATTCTTAAATTAAAAACTAATGATTCGAAATATTTGTATTATAATAAAATAATGTAAAATTTGCTAAAGATGCTGGATCTTGAGTAGAAAGATCATTGCTTTCAAAAATTACATTCCTATTTTTATAAATTAAACTATTAAAAAATACAAAGATCTCATCTCTGAATGAAATTTATTTCTATTTAGAATTTAGTATATAGTGATAATAATTAAACTATTGAGAATTTTATAAAATATTAGATAAATCCTCATCATCATAAGCATCTAATTCTAAATAAAGAATATGATTTTATTTTGTAGATTATAACAAAGCATTATCAATTTAATTTGTATTTTCTTATTCAATTTTAAGTTAAAATAATTCTTAAATCAATTTACTTTTTCCAATATTAGGTAAACCATAAACTAATATTAAATTATTTTCATTTAATAATGAATTTAATTATTCCATTTCATATCTATTTGCATCTCTGATTGGAAAATATTCATTAACTATTTAATTAAAAAGTGTTCTATCTTCAGTATCCATATGATGCTATAACACTTCAAAGAAATCATTCAATTTTATTGTTTTCAGAGTTTTAGTTACTTAATTAAATGTATTAAATCTTGAAAAATTAAATAAATCACTACCAAAGACAGTAATTAGTGTTTATATTAATTTTAGTAATATCTCGTAAGTTTCTTATTTGTATAACATTTAAATAAGTGCTTACCATAATATTATGGTATCTGGTTAATAAACATGAATATTCTTAAAAGATAAAATTGGATAATGAACTTCTGATATTAAAGTTAAAAAATGTTTATTTTATAATTTTAATTATCTTCCTTCCAAATCTTAAATCTGTAATTACTATTATAAGGCATTACTAATTTAATTAAATATCGTATATAAGATTAATCTATCATCTTATTATATGAATTAGAATCCTGATAGAATGAGCAATGAATTAGATTGAATAGATCCATATATACATTATAATAAGTACTAAAAATCATATTCATTATTAGTTATCTAAATCTATTTATAATAACGTCCTAAGATTTATGAATATTAAGTTATAATATAATATTTACTATAATGTCCAATCAAATGAGGTAATCGATTAATTTAAAATGCTTGATTCATTAATAAAATAGATTATTCTGACTATTTCCATGAATGATAATTAAATTAATCACCGAAAAATTCGAATTGATATTGAATTTTATTATTCAAAAAGTTTACAATAATGTTTTCATCATCATAAATATATTTAAGTTATTTAATGTAAAAATAATCCTTATCACTATTCATTTTAAATAGATTAATCTCTTAAATAGAATATTTTTAATTATTTAAAATCATAATAATAGCAATCTATCTTAATTATTATTTGACAGATTATTTCTCAGAATGTAAGTATTTTATTTATTCTTATATTTCATATAATTTGAATTCAAATAATTCATTCCAATCCTTTTCATCATTTTAAAGAATATCATCTAACATCATAGTATATGTTATTGTCATACAAATATAAATTATTTAAATAGGATATTACATAATCTATTGATAATTATCAGCATGTTTTAATGCATTCTTTAAAATCTATCTTAATCCTTATTTCATTCCTTCTTCAACAGTTTTAAACCAATCTTCAATCTCTCCTTTCATTGGACAATACTTTACCGGAATTTAATCATTTTCTTTAGAATATAAGGATGTAACTGCTTCCTTGTTTTAATCATAATCAAATTAATAGATATTTTGAAAAAATAAACTTAAATATTATTACATTGCAGCAGGATGTTTAACTTCAGAAACAACCTTATTAAATTGTGAATTTGTAAGAAAATTAAATCTAGGAAATAAATACTTTTTCTTATCAAATTGTTCATTCAATTATTAAATTATACTTTTACAATTTGAATTCTCTTATTATATCTATTTCAAAAACTTCTTTTCTTTTTCATCCTTTACCCATATTTCTAAACTTTTTTATTATTAAAATAATCTTATTAGATATTTCCATTGTTTTTCCTATTATTAATACATTTTCATTTCCTTACTCTAATTCTTTTAATTTATTTAAGTAGACAATACATTAGTTAAATAATTTTATGTATCTTATAAGAGAATCAATTAATTAATATAATCCTACAAATAAAAGATGTTTTACAATTATAAATCAATTCGTTTTCTAAGATCATCAATATTAGGTTAACCCAAAATATTATTGATTATCAAAATATTTTCATCTAACTATTCACTTAATTAATTTAAATTAGCTATAAAATATTAATCTTTTGTTCCCTTTACTTTTTGAATCATCAATTTGTGATTTTTCCAAAACTCTTCCAATTTAATTAATTAATTCATTGTTTAATTCTCATATTAAATAATAATCAACAATTATTATAAATTATCTTATTATTCATTAATATCTAATTAATATAAATATTGAGTAGTAAACAATGGATGTACAGGATTATTACAAATTTACATTATCAATTATAATAAATTCTTATCCTATTATTTATCTTTCTTACACACTTAAGCTACAATATTTTAATCGTAATCTTTTATCTGTTTTATTATTTCAATTACATTATATAATTTTTATTAGTTAACTAATTCTATCTTTATCTAAGGTAATTGACCTTAACCAAATATTTTACAATTTTCTATCTTAAGTAATAAATTAGAATATGTAGTTTTTATTAATGAAAGATTCAAATCTAAGAAATGTTCTCTCATCCATTCTTATTATTAATTCTTTATCTTATGAATTTCTATTTATAATTCTTTAAATTGCACATATTTATTTTTAATCTCGTGTAATTATTCATTATGATACTTTTCTATTTACAAAGAATTAGCATATTATTTTAAATCCTCATATTCTAATTCTAATGTAATTAATTAACCTTATAATTATGATATGGAATTTATATCATTGATATCTTTGTTATTTTCAAATTACTCACAAAATTATAATACTTTCTAATGAAAACCTGGAGTTAATTTTCTAAATTCTTTTTCAAACTTATCTTAAATTAATCCATATTAATTTTACAAATCATAATACCTATATTAAAATTATTGATATTAAGTAACAATCTTATCCCAAACATCTTTAATAGGAATTGTTTATTATTCATGATTATAAATTCTATTATATACATGCATTTCTTCTATTTATTAATCAATATATTCATAATTAGATTTAATTAATAAATAATTGTCTTAATGAATTACATATTATTTCAAAGTTTATGGTTTTAATTTTAATTTTTCATGCCAATCTTGAATTGTTTCATATAATATTGTGCATTTACCTCTAAGTTCTAAATCAACCTTTTAATTGATTATTTAGATCTTATTTTTAAAAAAGGTTTACATTTACAATTTAAAAAGTTAGATATTCAATCTTAAAAATCCAATATCCACTATATTTTCGATTGTTTCTATTTCAGATTGCATTTCAAAAATCAATTAAAATTATTATTTTAAAACTTCCGAATTTAACAATTAATCTTAACTTTTAGCAAATTCATCCAATAAGATTTAAATCTTCACCATATAATGTTCAATTTATTTATAACTAAATTTCAACTCTTCACCTAATTCTTCTATATAATCATATTATTTTAAATTATTTCTTCCATACTCTCTTAAATCTTATCTTAAATCATTTGAACTTGAACCTATTCCATAATTTTATAATTCTTATTATTTACGAGTTGATTATATACCTTACTCTATAATATCTATTGCTTTTTCAATTGTTTAAACAAAAATATCTTACATACCTTACAATGACGGTTCAAATACAATTGATCCCTCTTATAAATATATTTCAACCACTATCCAACTAAATTATGTTGTACTATTATTAATTAATGATTAATTATTACCCAACTTTAAGTTACTTATTTGCATTCTTTATTACTTTTAAGAAATTGACTATAGAATTATACATTAATGTAATCATGCTCTCTAATTAGATGTAATCAATCAATCTAGCAAATTTTATTAGTTTCTATTAAAACTATCTCAAATTAGATTCCATTGTAAATTACATTGATTATGTAGAATTATCCTATATATAATAAGAGCATAAATACACCAATTATTAGAGGCTTTTGTTCCATTTAAGAATTTCGTATCAATTCTAAATTCTACCTATAACCTTAATCTTCCTTAAATATACTGAATGAATATTAACATGCATCCACCACTATTTTTAATATTAAATTTATATTTTTAGCTAATTCCTATTAGAAATCAGATAAAGAATTTTTTAATTTTTATATAAATTTCTATTGATTTACAGGACTCATTTAAGTCGGAGTAAAAAATACTAATCCTTTTATTCTTTAAGTATATTTATGAATTTCTTCTATTGGTCTCTTAAGTGACGCATCTAATAATAAATAACTCGTTGTTAATTCTTTAGATATTGATTATGCTTTATTCTTAATACTTAATTTCTTCCATCTTACAAATGTTTTTTATTTCAAATAATTTCTAAAGAACTCAATTTTCTATAATCTATAAAATAATTTTCGATCATTCTCAAATTGTTTTATAGATAAGAATTCTTCAAAATTACTATGATGAATTATAATTCCTCTACCACTAATTGTCATAAAATAATCCATTTTTCTATCCTCATAATTGATAACTTTCCATTCATATGGATTACCATAATTATTTAAATAACAAAATTCTTATCCTAATTGTTGATCAGCTTAAAGTAAACGAACAAAATCATTTGGACCTAAGAATCCCAAAGAATGTTCTCTAACACTTTCAGATTTCCCTCTTTAACGTAAAGGTGTCATCTAAGTTAATTAAGGTTAAATTATTTGCGGCAAATGAAAACGTTATGGACTAAATGCTTTAATATATCGTTTTCTATTTGTTTCCATAAATTATGATTGCTCAATTTTTGTAGACATTATCTTTGGTATTAAAGGAGTATCATTTATTGATTGTATTTTCAATTTTTTCCTTAAATACTATTAATTCATTATAAATTTAAGAAATAAAATAAATTACTTAAAAAAACAATTATTTATATGAGTAATATAAATCACATTCAAATGAAACAGAGTACTATTGTCAATACAAAAATGAACATTAAACAACCATAAAAATATCTAATATTATTACTATTCTTACTCTTAACTGCTTTTATTGTATTTAGAAGTTATTATTAAACTAATCCAATTACTAATTTACATTATACATTATCCAATCCCATTATCAATTAAATTTATTAAAATAACACTCATCATTGGTAAAACTATTAATGTAATCCATATTAACATTTCTCTTAACTCACATTTAATTTCTAATTACTGTGCATTCAATTTTTTAAATTAAAATATTTGTCTCTATGAAATTAATATAATTAAGATTAATTAATGCAAATTCCAATTATCAATTATAACAAAATTTAGTTTTAAAATAATAATTAAAATTAATGCTTTTATTATTTTTTACCATGAAATTTTCTTTTCTATTTTTTTATCTCCATATCCTAAATCCTCTAATTACATAGCTCCTCTTAATGTATCATTTACATACTAGTTGTTCTCTACCTAACTTTCATATAATATTTGCATTCTTGGTTAATTCGTTTATTCAACTGTTGATAATAATTTTGTAAAAGGTCTATCTGTTTAAAATATACATTCAACTTCCTTTCCTAATTAATCATATGCAACTGATTTTAGAGTTTTAAGTATTCCGAATTTGATTTCCCCTAAATCATCCTAAAATTTTATCACATTCAAATTAGCTATCTATACATCTAAATCTCTTACGTTAAATCTAAGCAACGCTCTATTAACGTGTTATCAATACTCCAGGTCCATTATTCTTCTATTATATAGAAGGTCTTTTATTATCACCTAAATAATTCATTCCCTATTCCTACTTAGTTTATTATTAATCTGTTTTCTCACCTTAGTTATTACTTTATTGTCTATTTATATCTTTTATATCTGCTGTTGGTGGATTCTAATCTCTATTCATGCTTGAATTACTTTCATGAATAGAATGAATCACTGGCAGTTGTTATGGCAATTCTATTTCTTAATCCACTTTATTATTTCTCTCTGATAGTTATGTATTCAATATCTAAATTTAAGGTATTTCATTCTTCTCCTGTTTCAACTCTTTATAACTATATAACATCATCAAAAACATTGAAATTGCTATTAATACATCTAATTTTCAATAATATAGTCTTACAATTAGAATCTCCTATTTTCTTTATTTCTAATAAAAATATACTAATGTTTGATAATGAAAACAGTAATTTAATAATCTTAACATTCCCTTACCATTCTTTCAAAATTAACAAAGCAATTACACTCACACACAATAACACTGATTCAACAATCAAGAGTTTGCTATTCATTCTTCACTTTTTAATATTTATTATTAGATTTAAATTAATTAACTATAATCCCATAACTCATCTAGAATCTCATAAATCTTTTTAATTAATCAAATCATAAATAAATATGTGATAAAATTTATATAAAATCAATGATGTTGTTATTTTAATTATTCAATTTCATTATAATTATATATATATTTAATATATATTTTTTTTAATGAATATTTAATTAAAATCCCCATATTAAATACTCATCTTGTAAATCATATTTTCCTTTATCGCAGAAAAATTTATAGATATTATAGCAATCATTTTACCTATCTAAAATTCACTTCAATTACTTAATCTAAATAATGATTAGAATAAATAATCAAAATCAGATAAATATATAATAAATATTTAACAATGGATTTCCTTCCTTTTAATATATTATATTAATGAATACTACTCAAATTACTTTTTCAAATATGCAATTTGGTTTATAGTTTACTAAAAGAAAGTTTAGAAATATTGGCAATCAACTTTTATCAAGTTGTAATTTAAATTTACAAAAATCGATTGATTTTTATATACATAATTATATTTGATTTATTTTCTATATTGTTATTTTTTGCTCTTAAAATTAACATCATTTACATTTAGAATAAGAAATGGCTTAAGAGAAAATAATAAAATTTAACAATATTCTTACATATAAGTTTATAATAATTATAAAAATTAATTATTTTTAATTTTATTAGAAGATATTGAAAATATGATTATATGATAGAAAATTTTAGAAATTTATTTTTTTTTTTCAGAAATAGATTCATTCTATTGATAAAAAATAAAAGTAATGATGTCCAAAAATCATTTTATAGCACTAGTTTTTTAATTTTCTTCCCTTTTAAAATGATTTCTATTATCTTTCTAAAAATGATAAGTATTTTCATTCATATAAATCTATTTGACATAAATAATTAATTAATAATCATTTTAAAAAAATATTTTTTTGAATAAATTATAATAGGGAGCACTGGTTTTGTAATTTTATATTCTATCATAGAAGAGGATGAATTTATTTAGTTATAGATTATGAATTTTAGAACTAATTTACCTCTACCTATATAATAAAAAAAATATTTTTAATAGAATTCGCAAATTTTAAAATATATTGATTTTAAAAATTTTATGTATCACTCGAATTCAACTGTTAAAGGCTAAAATAACAATAGTGAATATTGTTATAATGAATGAATTCGAATTACATCTAGTACATTAATTTTCTTCCCAATGATAATAAAATACTGATTTAAGAGCACAGGTTTCTTGTGTTTAAATACTTGGATCAAAGTCAGCACATCCGTTACTAGTTTAAGAGCAAAGTAACATATTGGAACTATTGATCTTCTCTTAAGCCATATAACAAATATTGAAACTATTACGACTGCATTTATCAATAGTTTCACACACCATAGTAGTATCATTAGGATTAGGGAAACATGCTGGCAAAGCTAAAATACAACGTAGAAGATCTTGATTTGCATCGTCACATGAGGTCATTTATTAACATTTTCCATCTTTTATTACACAATTACCTTCTTTGGCTTAAAGGCAACCTGAAAGCAATGATTCAGAACATGTGCCATACAAATCTTTAATATCTTTGCAAGTTTGATCTATTTCATTAAATTAACAAGTCAAATGTAATCTCTAGCAGTCTATCTTGGTTTTGGCATTATGAGATGAACATGATTCAAACTTGACACATTTATCATTTACCAATGCGCATTTACGTAAAATATTACAATTATCCTCACTGTATGATTCACAGGGTATGGTAGTGCATTTATTATTTTTAAATTAGCAATCTGTATTTATTAAGCATTCCTCTTCATATAAAATCTATTCACAGGAACACTAACCACCTTTTCTCACAACAGCCTTTCCTTTGATGTTTACAAATACAGAAACAATCAAAAGTATTAGTAATATTCTTGAATTTTGATTTTTCATAAAATATGTTTTAAATAATTCATAATCCTACTAAAGATATTTAAGGTCATATTTTCTGATCAAATCTGAAAATTTAGTATGTCACAATTTTGCTGTGTTTTTATTATTATAAAGAATTTGATTTATATTTAAATGAAAGAAAATTGAATTTATTAATTTTAAATCCTAATTATTGTGAGAAATAAGCAATCATATCTTCTTATTGGTTGTGAAGGACCGAATTTTAGTTAAAGCACTTAATTCAGAAGAACGCAAATTTTATAATGTTAAAATCAAAGTTCAATTAAACAATTAAAAGTCCAATAAATATAAAAATGTTTTTAAGTAAATGAAAAATTATATCCTCTAAGTCATTTGTCAGAAAATTGTTAAAAATTTTGAAAACTAAAAATTACAATGAAAATTCTGAGAGACAATNGATAATAAAATACTGATTTAAGAGCACAGGTTTCTTGTGTTTAAATACTTGGATCAAAGTCAGCACATCCGTTACTAGTTTAAGAGCAAAGTAACATATTGGAACTATTGATCTTCTCTTAAGCCATATAACAAATATTGAAACTATTACGACTGCATTTATCAATAGTTTCACACACCATAGTAGTATCATTAGGATTAGGGAAACATGCTGGCAAAGCTAAAATACAACGTAGAAGATCTTGATTTGCATCGTCACATGAGGTCATTTATTAACATTTTCCATCTTTTATTACACAATTACCTTCTTTGGCTTAAAGGCAACCTGAAAGCAATGATTCAGAACATGTGCCATACAAATCTTTAATATCTTTGCAAGTTTGATCTATTTCATTAAATTAACAAGTCAAATGTAATCTCTAGCAGTCTATCTTGGTTTTGGCATTATGAGATGAACATGATTCAAACTTGACACATTTATCATTTACCAATGCGCATTTACGTAAAATATTACAATTATCCTCACTGTATGATTCACAGGGTATGGTAGTGCATTTATTATTTTTAAATTAGCAATCTGTATTTATTAAGCATTCCTCTTCATATAAAATCTATTCACAGGAACACTAACCACCTTTTCTCACAACAGCCTTTCCTTTGATGTTTACAAATACAGAAACAATCAAAAGTATTAGTAATATTCTTGAATTTTGATTTTTCATAAAATATGTTTTAAATAATTCATAATCCTACTAAAGATATTTAAGGTCATATTTTCTGATCAAATCTGAAAATTTAGTATGTCACAATTTTGCTGTGTTTTTATTATTATAAAGAATTTGATTTATATTTAAATGAAAGAAAATTGAATTTATTAATTTTAAATCCTAATTATTGTGAGAAATAAGCAATCATATCTTCTTATTGGTTGTGAAGGACCGAATTTTAGTTAAAGCACTTAATTCAGAAGAACGCAAATTTTATAATGTTAAAATCAAAGTTCAATTAAACAATTAAAAGTCCAATAAATATAAAAATGTTTTTAAGTAAATGAAAAATTATATCCTCTAAGTCATTTGTCAGAAAATTGTTAAAAATTTTGAAAACTAAAAATTACAATGAAAATTCTGAGAGACAATATGAATTTGAATATTTTTGAGTTTAATATATTCTTCGAAAGAGAGAGTGATATTAAAAAGAAAGAAACATAAAAGTATGTCTTGATAGTTATAATTATAAATGATTATTTGTATGTTTTTATCTAATAATTATTCATAAGGTTAATAAAACAATATTCATTGTCAAAGTTAAAATAAAGTTTAAATTCATTATACCACATTTTTAACATTCAGTTCCAGTCCAATGATAAAACCCTTATGATTTAACAAAACAATCTTTTTATTTATAAATTTATGGATTCCAATCAACACATTCTCCAAGTTTTTCACCTTGATCACATAAAGCAAGTTAATCTCCATTTAATTTAGGATATGCAAATCTACAATAAGTTTGATTTAATTGTTCACAAGTATATGCTTATTCACATGGATCATAATTTTTCATTGTTTCATCATAACCTTTACAGATTGGTTCAAAGTTTTTACAAAAATAATTAGATTTTGTTACTTCTTTGCAGTCTGAGAGCTCTTTGCATTCATCTTCTTGCCAGTAACATAATCTCTTTTATGAGATTGACATTAAAAGACAATCAGAAAAATTAAATGATGAGCAAGGTTATTATTCATTACATATTTTAGTAGTTTCATTGAAAGTACAGTTATGATTTAATTATTAGCACTCTGTAGAAGTTGTGACAATAAAATACAGACAAGATTAAAAGTTCTTACATTATTAATTATTCCATGAACAATGAGGGTTTTGTAAACATTTATCAACAGTCAAATAAGTCTTGCAAGGTATATCTGAACACTTTCCATCAATGAATTGACAAATCTCATAATCATCACACTCATTTTCAAAAATAAGATCTGAACATTTACATTTCTCCTCTTTATTAACAATTATTTGACTCAAGCACCAATTAATTGTCATCATAAGCAAATATTGTTTCATTAATTAGTTTTTATTTTATAAATGAAATAATGTTAACAAGTTAGAATTTAATAAATACTCTAGTTTAAGAAATTTTTATCTTTATTTTATGAATTTATTTATATAAAACTACATAATATTTTGAATTTAAAGATACTAGAGAATATTTTAATCTAATTTACAAATAATCAATTCATTTAAGTTTAAACTATATGGAAATGCTGAATAAAAAATATACAAATAAAAAGATTTATATTTGATCAATTACATTTCATTATATTGTGTAATATATTTAGAGTTCTCAATATCAATAATAATTTAATAATTCATTTTGGATAAGCATGTTTTTAAGAAATGCACCCAGATAAAATTATTCATTTGTTACCTCATTTTGAATATGATTCAACTTTATTATAACTGCTAAATAAATTGAATAATCATCTTAGGTTTTATTTTATTAAAAGTATGATCATATTTAAATTGGTGAAAGCAAAAATATATATTTACAATCTTAAAGGTAATTATATCATTAAAAAGCAACACATTTCATGTTTTATCATGCAATTTAATATAAATAATAATTAATATTAATAGGATTTAAAGAAAGTGGATTGCTTTAAAGATTTATATTACATTTTGAATATGGATATATAGAATAATATTATATTATTGATCCAAATACATTTTAACATAAATCAACCAAATGCCTTTAATAATTAACAGATGAAAGCGAGTTGTCTTAGCATCTTAATATAATTGCTTCTCTAGTTAATAATTCAACTATTAAATAAACAAAAAATTCCAGAAATCAGTAAAGTGATTTAATTTATTTTAATAATAATAAAAATTAGAAGAAAATGAAGTAATTGAAACTGAACTCAAAAAATAACAATTTAGATGTATTACTCTATTAGCGTTCTTTTGAGATTTTCTTTAGAAAAAATAACAATAAGGATTACAATCTTTGATGAAAAAGAAGTAAGTAAATGATTTTATTAATGAGATTTATGTATTAACTTAAGTATTATTCTAATTTATTTAGCATTTAATAATGAATGATATTAGATAGCAATTCTATTTAAGGAAGATATTAAAGAATTATAATGCAAAGATGCTTATTTAAATTATGTACTTTCTTAGCCAAATTATAATTTAACTAAATATTACTTATCATAACTAACATTTTAACAGGAATAATTAACATACGTTTTGTTAAATGACAAGCATCCCTTCTCCAAATTTTCTCTCAGTTTTAGGCTAATTATTTTCAAAACCTCAGATTCAGTTACAGTTTAAAAGTTAAACTCTTTCAAAATTATATGATAAATGATCAGTATCAAAAATTGACAAGAGATTTCAATTCCTAATTAAGATAGTTTTATCATACCTTTTAATTAATGTTTTTTAACTATCTATAAATTTACATGTAGTTAATCATATGAAAAGGAATAGTATTTTATTTCTTAATTGATACAAACAAAAGTTTTAAATATTCTTGATCATCCTTAATTATTTGGAATCTATTCCAATTATCTTATTAAGCTGGAAGGTTAAATTAAATAAAGGTCTTTTGACTGTCGTTTGTGCTGTTGATATTCCTATTGTAATAATTAGACCTATAAAACATATTAGTTCTTGTTTTCCTAAAAAGAAGTTAATAAATTATTTTTTTCGGTAAAACTTCACTTTTTAAACAAAAAATATCAAATTTTACTCTAATTGAATATCAGGATCATATCACCTTATATTTTAAATCATTATAAACTTTTTATTGATGATAAGCTTTTACCTAATGTTAAATGTCAATTAAACATACAGGGCTAATAGAATTGTTTATCCAGAAGTTCCTTTTACAAATAAGTAATCTCGATATTCTAAGTTGAAAGAAAAGAGACCGCCAAACAATATTTTAAATATGTTAAATAACTATAGATAGTAGATAGAATAGATAATTGTTCTCATATATTATGTCTCTATTGATTTTATCAAAGCATAATTTTATGCTATAATGATTATTTTTATTAATATTGTATGTTAAATGAAGCAAGCATTTTCTGGAATTCAGACAATTAATCAGACATTTTTAGACCAGAAAATTCTTACTTAGAGTTGAGTCTCATTATTTCAGATAATTATATACCTATTCTTCCAAGAGCAATTAAGGAAGGTAATGTGCTTTGTTTGATTTTATGCTTTTATTATCTGATAAAGCTTTTTGTTACTCTTTCTTAATATTAAGAAATAGAGGAACCACTTTTTAGCATACTCATTTTAATAATGGGTTTGCATGACGTTATTAACATTCTTCATTATCTAATTATAGGGTAAAGATTTCAATATTGATTAGTATTTTAACATAATATATTGGAAGTATTGATGTGTAAAATTTTCATAGATAACTCAATTTGTTATCTTTGAATTCATCAATTACCTAAATCATTATTCAAGAATTTATTAGCTATTATCGTCCTGTAAATGGACTTCTTATCATAGATATTATTGAACAAAAATCTTTTTGTTTTAATTGTACTATCATTAAGTTGTTGCACTATTTCATTTCAGTTTACACTTTAATTATTATGCTTTTTATTACTACTGAGACTCCAATCCTTATTTAAATTTATATTATACTCTTAATTATTTATTGGTTTATTCCAATTCTAATGTGTTTTGTTTGGCCATTTGTGATGCTATGGTTCATAGTATTAAGATAAGAATTGTATTATTAATAAAATAGGAATATAATAATTAGATTCTATGATCAATTATAAAATATTAAATTTAGAAAATTAAAAGAGTAACGTCCATCAATGCAATAAAATGATTGGTATAATTAAAATAAGATTTTTAAGTCCTATTTGTTATGAATAAATCAATGAATCTCACAGCGTAATTTAATTGCCTTGCCATAAAGAACACTATTTTCATGCTGATTGTTGTAGATAATGGCTTGGAAGAGATCCTCGCTGTCCATTATGTCGATATGGATTGGAACAGCCTAAAGAAGTGGCATTACTTGAATTCATTTGATTGTTTTATTATACTATTTAATTATTTATTAAATATGCAAGATGCTTAAGACAAATTAGAATTACATTAAAAACTGTTGAAATATCCTCCATTTTATACGTAAACTCATTTTTGCAATTTTCTAGCTTATAAGATCATAAAGAGACAAGAAAAAAATAAATTACATAATGGAGCGAAATTGTACATCTATACTTTTAATCTCATAAAATTTTGGAAACTTCTATAAGTGAAATGCTTAATGTTCCAATATTTTAAGACTAATCATCTGGGATTATTAAAAAATTAGATGCTTCAGAAATTAGGGAAATACTAAATCAAATGGCACAATTAGGATCTATAGAATGGAAAAATGATTAGAATTTTAGTGTAAATTTAGTCAGCCCATTCGAATTAGCCGATGCTATTTATGCTTGGGCTAAGGAGAAGAAATTGATTGGTTACACTGAAACTTTAAAAGGCATTACAGAAGGAAGTCAAACAGATTAAACTAAAAGTATAATTTACAATATTATATATAGAATTCTATAATTTACCCTAAGAATAAATTCTGAAAGCATGCTTAATATTAGAAGAAACTGGAAGATGCTAAGTCTATGAATTTGATGGTTTATACAGTATCAAGTTAATATGATCATATTATAATTCAATCTTTATGAAAAATTACAATGAATATTGTTAAAATAAAGTTAATCTTTTTCATTCTTAGTATCAAATTTCTTGTTTTTAATTAAATTATAGATCTACTATCAACTATATCTTATTTTGTTGAATTATTTTAAAATAAAAACTTTAATTTATTGAGTTAGAAATCAAAGTAATTAAGAAAAAGAGGGGTTTGTTACTTCAAATTTTAATTGTAACTTAAAAAAATGAATTGCATAAACTTCAAATATATTGAATTTTACTTCCTATCAGAAGCGAATATTTATCTTTAGAAATGTTGCTATTATTATGGCTAGGTAAAACTTCTTTGTTCTTGAAATTGCTTCTAATTTTTCATAGTCTTCCATCATCAAAATCAGCTAAGTTGGAACTAAAAATTAAAGTATTGTATGAAATCTATACACTATTTATGCTAACAGATTAAGCTTAACTTCATATAATTATCCTTTATGTAGTATTATTAGTAAGAATTCTGTGCTAGATTAGTTGGAGTACCATTAATTTGTAAAAAAAAGATAGTAGAGAATAAATAGAAAATAAAAGATGTGAAATTAATCTTTAAAGAATTACTTTAGATTAACCAGAAGATATTTAAAGAGATTTAATGCCCAAAAGTATGAACCAAACTAATTAAGATTTTTTAGTTTCTGAAATTTCAATTATGTGTCTAATAAAATTTAGTTGTAAGAAGAATAAAATAAATAACTCTAACTCATTATTTAATAAAAAACAAATATGTTATTTATTCAACTTAATAAAACCAAATCAATTTTATCATTTATTTCTTTACAAAAAGATTTAATTGAAATTTATTAATTAAAAATTTGAACTTCTAAAATATGTAATAGCCTAATCATACATTTATTTGTAACTTTGTTTTTTTGGATATGTTTTAAAATTTTAAGTAAAGTTTTGAGTTTCCTTCTCTATTTATACTTAGAGTTATTTTTCAAAACATCTATTTTCATATTCCAGTCTCTAAATTTCATCCACCTTTTCAGTTATTTAGATTTCTAATTAATTCTCCTCTTTTTTCTTCAAATCATGGATTTTGTTGAATGTGTTATTATTATGATAGAAAAATATAAAATTATTTTTGGAAAGTAATAACATTATAAAAACATGCTCAAAAAGAAATTAAAGATAAAAATATTGTAAAATACATTAGAATCTATAAACAAATTATAAATTATGATCAATTTGGATTAACTCTTTAATCTAGCATTCTCAGGATCGAAAAAAAAGATAAATAGAATTATCGAGCTTTATCCTTTTATTCTTGTAAAAAAAATATTATACTTCAATCTAAAAATAAATTCGATTATTATTCATATTAAAAAAAAAATTATATTATTATAATTCATAATATAACAACAATTTATAAGTCAAAACTGAATTAGAAAGAAAATCAGATCGATTCAATTCTATATTTTTTAATTTGAATCTCCACTTTCATATTTTAAATTAAAGAATGTAAATATACTCATATTTTCGTTAGGGAATCTATTGATAGACAGGATCATTATATAATTGGATTTCGATGAGGTTTATACATTTTCATTAAAATTTGGATTGCTTTATTAGTAATTCATATTGTATGCGGAACTTCTCATGTTTGCTAAAGCTGTAATAATGCTTTAAAATCTTGCTGCACTTTAGCGTTTCAATTCTTTTTCTTCTTCAACTAAGTTCCTTAACTTTCCAACTTGGCTAAGAGATTTCCAGCCAGTATTTGAGATAGTTGATTATTAATATATTAAAATTAAAATCTCCTTTAATTAAAAGAAAAAAGTCTGTTTTTTGGCTTCAGACAGAAAAAATTGTCGCTGATAATGAGAAAGATTAGAATCTATTTTCATACAGTTATTTTTATTTAAAAACTTTATTAAAATTTTTTTTAAGCCTTTTTTCGTTTATTGATTCTTTGAATTAAACAATTTATAGAGATAAAGCTACTTTTGATTCATTAAGATGTATTTAGTTTATTAATGTTGGTAAGATTGATGAGATATCTTCATGAAAATATTTGATTGAGTAAATCTGATCCTTAATGTTTATAATATTAATTGATAGACATAACATTCTATTCATAATAAATTTATTAAATTCTTTATTAAAGAGGATGGTGGACACACTAAGGTCTTTTTTGCAGTGAATTGACTATAGGGAACCTTGACAAAAAAAAACTTCAATGATAAAGAGATACTGTTCTAAGATTATTTATCACACAGATACACTTCTGCTTTTGGTAGACTTTTTGCCTATATATTATCAGAGTGAACGAGCGACATTTTTGCACTTCGCTAAAAAACATTGATGAAATTCTTTAGTGTATGATAGAATTGTGTTCTTGAACATGAAATATTTAAGATAAATTTAAAGTTGGACTTAAACCTGAGTACTTTTAAAGGAAACATTTTTTTTACCAAAACCAAAATTTTCAACTCTTAGATTGAATTTTTTAGCCTCTTTAACTTTTTTAAAATATTGGAATTATTCAACGGTTGTTTTTTATAATGAATTTCGTATCACATCATAAGGATTTTAAATATTCAGAAATCCTTTTTTAATTAAAGAATCAAATCTGTCTATTATCATATTTTCCTAAAAAAATTTAGTTCAACACAGGTCTCACTTTTAATAACTTGGATATTTCTGTCCTTCTTGATCCGTACTTTTAAAAGGCTTCCATGACAATCAGAGCTTTGACTATGGTTTTACTCTTATTTCTGGGTTATTATATAATGAATCGTCCTTGAATTTATTTCCCAATCAGATTTCTCATATTTTTATATGATAAAAATATATTAAAGAGGATAAATAATTTTAAAAGCCATAACAGAACTCTTTTATAATTATAAATGCTTTTTTAAAATAATAATTTATTACCTACCAGATTGAGCTTAATTTTAAATATACATTACTAATATGTTTTATAATAAAAAAATTGTTTTGAGTTTGCAAAAATTTTACTTGTTTATCAAGTA